GTTAACTGCGCCTAAAGCAGCGGTTTGAAATCGTCTAACACTCTCAGAAAACGAATACAGCAAACAGAACTGAAAAAGCTAACTTCGTTTTATCACTATCGGCAAAAATGTCACCTTGGGTAGGGGCATAATTATAGCCGCACATGAAATTTATTCGGTCATATTGGTAATAAACAAAAACTATACAGATTTAGTTGAAATAAATGAAATATCCAGAAAGCCCGTAGGTAACACTTTTCGATACCTTATTTACAAGCTTTCTTGGTTCCCCAAGATGCCACGAGGCAAGCAGTTAACCGAGGAGGAGTGCCGCAGGATTGACCTGCTCATCCGTGAGCGCAAGAGCAACCGAGCGATTGCGAAGCTCATCTGCCGTGACGAGAAGGCAATTCGCAACTATATCAAACGTGGAAAGGCTTCCTCAACAACTAAAAGGACTGGACGAAAGCCTAAAATGACGGATCGGGAGGTCAGGAGGGTGTTTAGGTTGGCAATTGTTCACGGATTATCGGCTTCGCAGCTACGAATCCAGCTGCCGTCAACTCCCAGCAAGACTACTGTTCTTCGCACGCTGCGTAGCAGTCGGAACATCACGTACGCGAAGCGGAAACCTACCCCAGCTCTCAAGCCTCACCACAAGAAGAAGAGAGTAGCTTTTGCTGAGCAATATGGGGACGACAAGAAGTTCTGGCGTCGCGTGGTCTTCACGGATGAAAAAAAATTCAATTTGGACGGTCCGGATGGGTTCCGTTACTACTGGCATGACATGCGAGCTGAGCCCAAGACCATGTCAAAGCGGGTGAATGGAGGAGGGAGCGTCATGATATGGGCTGGGGTTAACTGGTACGGTAAAACCAGCCTGGTATTCCTGAAAGGGAAGCAAAATGCTGTCAAATACACTCAGACGTTGAGCCAAGGTCTGTTTCCTTTTCTACAAGAACTTCGTGTGAAAATGGGTAATAATACCCCAATTTTCCAACAAGACAATGCTTCCATACACGCCGCCAAGTTCACCAAGGCTTTTTTAGAGGTTAATAACGTGGAAGGGATGCTCTGGCCTGCTAAGAGCCCTGATCTAAACATCATCGAGAATGTTTGGGGTCTTTTAGCACGCCGAGTGTACGCTAACGGCCGCCAATTCGACAAGCCAGCCGATCTCATCAAGCAAATTCAAGCTGAGTGGGACCTTATCGATTTACAATACCTCCAGAAACTTGTACGAAGCGTCCCCAAACGTTTGGAAGCCACCCGACTACTCAAGGGATCCAAAACTGGGTACTAGAGGTGATCCTTTCATGTGCGGCTATAATTATGCCCCTACCCAATGTGACATTTTTGCCGATAGTGATAAAACGAAGTTAGCTTTTTCAGTTCTGTTTGCTGTATTCGTTTTCTGAGAGTGTTAGACGATTTCAAACCGCTGCTTTAGGCGCAGTTAACCAACGTACAAGACAAGAACACCGAAAATCGAGTGCGGCTATAATTCCGGTGCGCACTGTATATGTAAAATCCAGAACTTCACCGTGCTAGCACGGCATTATCATTACTATTACATAGCATTAAAATAAAAAAAAATCTGTCGCGATCATAGCCGAAGACTAATCAGATATACGTTTCTTTTGTTTCTGGTTTGTCGGCCCGGACTCCAGTATCAGCTCTAGCCTAAGATGATGCCTATTCTTGATTGCATCCATTACTTATTGCAGTAACTTATTGAAAATTATTATATTACGGATTTTGAAACAAAGTAGTGCTGGCGCGAAGAATCTTTGAAATTCAGCAAAGATCGTTAACTTATGTTCCGAAGGCTTGGGGTTCCTTTGCCGGCGCATCCTCTGGAGCTACTGTAGCAGCTCCTTGATTTAGAAGATCCCTTCGGTAGTAATCCCTAGAAATGGAATACTCCTCAATAGCAGTAAATTACCGGTTCCCATTGACTAGTCACATACAAACCCGTCTCTGACGACGCCCGATTTGCAGAAAGTATCCTATGCATATGCGAGGAGCAAGCATATATCGTTGCCGCTACGGCTGCGCTGCATTATTACGTCTGAATTTATTCAATGTGCACGTAATTTCGGTAGACAGTTGCGCAATTACTTCTCTGGTCGGGTGGTTGGAGGTGGTGTTGTAGTGTGGTCCACATTTGCCCTCACGTAATTTTGCGGAGACTAAATACGCTGGATTTGCGATTGATTATTTGCGTTCATCGTATTTTTTTTTCCTGTTTGTGTTATTTTTGGGAAGATTCCAATGGTAAAATCCGATTACGTTCTACCGTGATCAGTGTGGATTCACTCACATTAGCGTTGGCGATGTCTAAAGCCAATTCTACCAGCTCGTACTCTTCAAGTTCTTTGAGTATATCGGCTCAAACGCGCCACTGGGCAGCGTCTATGACGAAGACTTGGGCAGACGAAGTGCATAAGGAATGGAGGCTTGAGCTACGCCGTCAGAGCTCCAAGCGTTTTCGAGCACGCAGACAACAAGCGTTGGCCCAACTGCGTCGAGAACAGGATCATCTCGAGCTGAAAATCAGACAGTGCATCGCCGCTAGAAGGCGCTTATCAACGGATATACCTAGTGGCCCAAGCGAACTGTCCAGCTCGCTTCGTCGACTCGCCATTGAGGGTGATTCGCTAACACGAGAGAATTTACAGCTGAAACAAGATATTTACAAGCACGAGTTCTTCCGCAGCATCACAAGCAAGGCGATCGATGGTAATCCTCGTAGGGACGAGAAAACCCCACAAAATATTCTCGAAGCGAGTAAAAAATCTCGCTGGGTGGCCTACGACCGTCTACGCTACTCTGGTTGGTGTGTGGAATTTCCGAACCACGAACCTTCATTTTTCTTCTACCCATTCACAAGAACAGAATTCGACGATGTGATCAAGACTACTCTCGCTGGACTCGGTTCAGACTCTCTGGTAGTGGGAAAGGTATTTGGGTGGAACGTGCATAATGCTCCTTTGACTCACAACGCAGAAACCGGCTCACTTATCTCCCAAGTGAGACTAACGACGCGTGTTAGCTGCTCACTACAAGACTCCGATATTTTGGTTACTACGTCTGACATCCATTCGTGGCCACTCTTAATCACACCGGCAGGTTGGGAAAGAAGTGAACATGCACGTTCGTCCACGCAAGTTCTGCAGCAATTGGACTTGAATTCGCTCGTGTTGGTGACAAATATTCCGGGACAAGTTCACTTTCGCTACCTTTATCTTGTTCGGCGATGGACGAGATTGAATGAAAATGGTAAACGAGAGATTCTATACGTCACTGTAATTGGAGACACCGAAGCCAACGCTCAAGCTCGAGAGCCTCAGTCTGACGTCCAGTGGGCACACGAGAGCGGTATCTGCATTCGATACACTGAGGTAAACAAGTCAACGATCGATGTGACGTACAATCGCTGGTCTCAGTGTGAGAGTGAGGATCACGCGCAGAAGCTCTTCATCGACTGGATTCAAGTTCTTTGCTGGTGGACGCAACGCGTAACCTCGTCCAGGTTAATCAGGTCTGGATAGAACGATACACAGAGATTCAGCTTCTTTTGTTTTTAATACATTTGCAAACTGCATCGTATTTGTCACTTACGCTGAGCCAAGAAGGTTCAACGGCACCACCAACGGAGACCATTGACACGCAGACTCGGCCCATAGAGCGAAATAATGTTGAGCGTGTCGCTCACTCTCGCATGGAGCCCAATAATCGAAGCTAACATCGATTGTTGTTTCGTCCACTAGAGTGAATTTCATGCATACTCCTCCTTCATGAATCCACTCAACGTCAGATTGAGGTTGTTCCGCGAAATGATTGAGCAAGTTGGCTGATGTATCTGCGATAACCATTTGGTACAAGGAAGAGAGCTTTCCGTTTGCTTTGGTAACCGGAACTTGCCGGGGAAGTTGGAAATACCGGATGTGTGTTTGGTCTGGAATGTTGCAAACCATGACGAAGGAATCCTTATTCATCTCCTGTAACACTTGCATGTTCACAAGACGACGTTGCGGACGACTCCCATCAGGAGCGACATAGAGAACACCCACTGCGTCCACGGGTATCTTGGCCATTAACGTGTCAGCATCCTCTAAAGCTCAGCCGACACGAATCGAGAATCTCGCGTGAGCAAGAAGCGAATTGTCGTGTGGTCTTTGCATTAGAGGCGCGTCGCGTACCGTCTAGCCGAAGAGCCTTCCCATGATCGAAGAAACCGGTAATTTCGCTGCGAGTATCTCATCGCATTGGTCGAATTTGGAGTCGTACTCTTCGCGCGTGCATGGACTGAAGTAGAACGATGGCTTATCGTTTGGGAAGTACACGCGCCAGCCAGGTCCATGGGGGGCTACGTGCGTCGCCCACGGGGCAGACTGACTCGCCTCACGAACACTCGGAGACACCGAGTCCTCTCTTTGGGGAGGAGAAATATCTTGAACGGCTTTGTTCGACTGGATCATAAAGTGATCGAAAACACTAAGTCTCTGTTGAAGTCTCAGGTTCTCCGACTGAAGTAAACCCCTCTCAAGCACAAGGCAACGTACTATGTAGTTGCCGTCATGACCTTCCCTGTCATTGTTGATGACCAGCGCTTGCAGTCGCCGCTTCACCTCGTGCTCCAAGTAGTCTCGTTCCGCTTGAAGCTGCGTTAACTCTTGCTTCTTCTTGGCTCGAAACCGAAGCGAGGTTTCAATTCATTTCTGTCGTCTGACCTCTAACTGCACCTCTTTCGCCCAAGTTTTGGTTGTCATGGCAGCCCAGTCTTCAAGACGAGCTAACTGGCACTCGGGGTCTCTTGTGACATCGTCGCTATTAACGCAGCTGAGTGTAGTTGAACGTGGCTGATGAAGGGATTGCGCTGACGACATTATACTCGAGTGGAGGAGTGACACCTGACGGAATGAGGGGGCAGAGCCTATTCGCAAACCGAATCGCATGCCTACTAGTACCAGCCGCCTTTGTCAATTGAACAAGCAATCATGTCACATTCATAATCTTCATTTGATTTCGGTGCGCCCGTGGGTTTCATCCCCTAATACATGTTCAACACCTGTTGGTGCAAGGTGTGAAGCTACTTGTCGTACACAGACTCTAATAGCTGGAAATTACGATGATTGTGATAGTGATCTTCGTCACATTGCACGATTTTTCTTAGAAGAGAGTTTGTAAATGGTATTCTGCATTAGTAGTTTAGTAGAAGTAGTAAAGTGGCCTTCTATTTGATTCTTATGTTTTCCTCTTAGAAGCCTTTTGGAAACATATAAGACGCGACTTGACGCTGTTCGTCTGTTCTATCACTCTTCTTGGTTGGCTTAAAGCGCTTCAAGTAAACGCTTAGGCCTGAGGGAGGCTGTATACTGGTGCTGTCCTCTAGATATGTATTTCTCCATTGAATTTTGTTTTAATGGGCAGTTTGACGGCTTCCAGGTCGGCCTGCGCTGGGGGTACCCCATTGCACAGCGAAGAATATGTGGAGCTCTCTTGAGCTAACTTCCGCTTCGGTGCTCTCAAAGCTCTGAAACGCTTTTTGCGCCGCTTTGTCCACACTATCGATGTGCAGGTATTTTGCAATATAGTTGGCAGCTGTATTTCGAGAATTGGAGTACCTGGTAGTGTACAGTACTGCCCTCGCACCTTTGATAAATTACCAGGTATAATAATGATCTTCTCTCCAATACCCTCAGATATTTTTAAAGCTAAAAACTGATGTGTATGTAAATCCCATAATGTCCACCCCCGCGTAAACGGGGTGCGGTACTGTAGTGTACTAACGACACAACGATTCCTGCAACACAATCCTTTACATCGAAATATCTATCAACCACAAGAAACGACGCCTACCGTCTTGTACATACAGTCTGAGCGTTTGCAATCATGTCATACCGCGTAATCAGCTTTTTTTGTCATCATGATGGAAGTTCTCGTCAATCTTCGTTTTTCCGGGCTGGAGGCATTCATTTAGTCAATCTACGCGAGCTACTGAATGACAACTATTAGGGCTTATCAAGTAATTCTGCTGTTAATCGTCGCACTAGTGCTATCGACTTCACTGTCGATTGTTCAAGGCTTAACCTTCGGAGAAGCTCCAGGATTCGCTGTCGGCACCACCGGTGGGGGAGACGCAACACCTGACCACCCCAAAACACTCGAGGAACTAATAGAACTCCTCGGCGATGATCAACCACGAGTCGTCGTCCTTGACAAAGAATTTAGCTTCCTCGGGTCCGAAGGAAACACTACCGAGACAGGGTGTCGACCCAAGTCCAACACGGCCTGCCTCGCCAAAAACAACGGATTCAAGGGCCAGGACGTAATCCTGTTTCCAGGTGACACTACCCTTACCCACACGGGAGGGTGTGACCAGCAAGTGAAGGTGGAGATCACGTATGACAACGCCAATAAGCAAATGATGTCCGTTGGCAGCAACAAGACGCTGCGTGGTGTCGGCAAGAAAGGGGTATTGAAAGGCAAAGGACTCAAGCTCGAGGGTGACAACATCATCATCCAGAATATCCACATCACTGAGCTCAACCCGCAGTATATTTGGGGAGGAGATGCCTTCTTCATGGGAGGCATCGATAAACGCGCATTGAAGAAAATCTGGATCGACCACGTTAAGGTGTCACGTGTTGGACGGCAGATGTTCGTCAGTGGTTTTGACGGTGTCGAGAGTATCACGATCAGTAACTCGGACTTCGATGGCCGCACAGACTGGTCGAGTTCGTGTGACGGTCGTCACTACTGGGGGTTCATTCTGGACGGCACTACTACGCGCGTGAGCTTCCTCCAGAACTACGTCCACTCGACATCGGGCCGTTCACCAAAAATCATCGGTGCGTCAAGTCCGAATGCAAACGTGGTGGCGCACATTGCCAACAACTACTGGTCCGACAACTCGGGTCATTCGTTTGAGCCAGGGAAGAACGCTTTCGTTCTGGCTGAAGGCAACTTCTTTGAGGGTACGTTACAGCCCATGGAGGCCGACGCTGAGAAAGCGAGCATCTCGGTGGCGGACGATTGCAGTGCTGCACTGGGTCGTTCGTGTCCTGGCAACACTGTAGAGAAGAGTGGCAAGTTTGAGTCGGTGAACGGAGCGCGAGCTCTAGAGACGGTGAAGAAGTACAAGGAGATCACGGGATACAAACCGGGTGAGGCTACTCAGCTATCGGAATCGGCTGATAACTTCGGCGTTGGCACGTTGGGCGATTCACCGTCCCAGGGAGAAGTTAACCAGACGGACGGCTCTCAATCAGAGGCTAATACCAAGCAAGAGGATCCTGCTCCCGGTACAAGTACTACTGGAAGCCAGAGTGTTAAAATGCTAATTAATGGGAGCACCGGTGCCGATGCACCAAATTTAAATGGACAAGAGAGCGCAGCTGATGGTAGCTCCGGAAAACAAGGCAGTAACGGAGAGACTCCGTCTCCAGCAAACCAAGGAAGCAACGAGGGAGACAGCACTCAACAAACTGACGGCCAAGGGAGCGTTCCCCAGGATTCCGGTCCACCAGAAACACTTCCGCAGAAACCTAAGTGTACAAAGATAAGTCGTCGCGTTTAAATGGCGATGAAGGGTAAGGTACCTGCAGCTACAGTGTAGTTGTCCAAATACGCTTAAAAAATGACATTGATGTGGTTGACTTCTTTTGTTAGAGATCTAGTTACTACAAGATAGAGGAACGGAGACATGCATGATAAATCTGCCGCCCTACAGACAATTTCTTCGATGTAATGCCTCGGATTCCCGTTCACTTATCAGTTCTCAACTATTCCGCACGCTTGATAGTGCAATGACATCGGGCACCCCGAGAAATCCACCTGAAATAGCTATTTGCGTGCAGTTTTTTTTTGGCGGACTGTTAGTTGCATTAATTGCAATCCACTCACCGATATGCTTATCTTATATTTATTCAATAGTATAAGCACGAATGGTAGGCTATTGCTACTAGATGTTGCCTGATAGATCCAGGAGCTGTAGCCAGTTCGTTTGTGTGAAGCTTGATGGCGAGTAGAAATTAGAACCGGGGTCACGAGCTTTATAAACCCATAATCGATTAATTTTCATCGAATGATGCCGAAATCGTGATACAGAGTGATGATCCACTTACATGATACACGTCGCGGTCAGAATATTGAGCTCCTGATTACCGAGGGGGTTGTCCGTTTTCAAAATCGTAAATCACCCACTAATCTTAGTACTGTAATGCGCTATGGCTAGTATCAGGCATAGGCAAAAAATACATTTTTGTGAATTAATGTGGTATCGTTCTGAATCCGTTGTCTATTGCACTTATTAGAAATGCCTTTCCTCCCTCTCCTCCATTATGCACTTGTTTCCTCTCCATTCTTTTATAATTGTAGAAAATTACTACTTCTACTTGCCCCTATCAAGCCTCAAGCAACGTTTATAAATGGAATTGTACAGCAGGATACGCATTTTTCAGTGTTATGGATTCTTTTGCCTGTAGAAATTAGACAGTCGCCTGATCTGTACTAAACCAAAATAAATCGAAGAGCCCGGCGTTCATATCACATGAATCATTTGTCATTTACAAATTATGATATGAATGCTGCCCACGATAACAATCCTTAGACATACGATTATAATATTATTGATATATTATTTTGTCAAATACATGTATTATTAAACCATCACATACTACTTTATAATAGTAATAGTTTAATATTATTATTCTTAGAATACGTGAACGCAGTTTTGGCTAGTTTGTACCGGTAGTCGAAGAACAATATATGCCGAAGTTTATATTCAAGGCACTATCATCCATGATTCGAAACCTTAATGCAAGCTGAGCCGGTCGATGATGTCCTCTGCTTCATATTGCTTCATAGGGGACCACAACCGTTCGCCCAAAATGTCGAGTTTGGTCAATTTTGGCGCTATTTGGGCACGAGTTCCACGCAATTAGCGGGAAATCGACACTGTTCCCACCGTGTCATTTGACGAAATTGTACTGTCAGTGCATGTGCACCAGCTTTTATTGCTGACTAATACCTCCTTAATAGGGCCCCCGTAATACCCATGCGGGCATTACGGGAGCCGCGTCCTGCTTGACAGGATTCGTATCAAGTTAAGACCCGCAGTAATCAATAAAGCCTAAATCGTGGGGGCATTTACATGCAGGACGGCTCCATTGCATGATACTTTTTTTGTCAGAATAGCGAGCTCAAGGTTACCAATGTAGGCGCCGTGAGCTCAACAGAAGCTGCCACGGTTAACGAAGACATCGGTGGCCGGTGGACAGCGAGCACGAGTTGTACAGTACAGTACTTCACCCCGTTTTCGCGCCCTCGGATATTTGATAAAATTCCATATATAATGCTACTTTTGCCAAACATCCTCAAATTTCTATGCTGAAACCCGATGTATTTGCAAATCCTATATTGTCCACCCCCGCGAAAACAGGTCCATTACTGTATACACAACTTGGTATTTTGTGCAACCTTTCATTCGAATGCCCATTTTTATATCGCCACTCCTCTCTGATTGGGACAAGATAGCCAATCCGGCGTCCCATTTCCACTGCGTCAATACGCAGGTTGAAGGTCTCCACAATCACCTCGTCACGCGGCTCGTGCGTCATTACGCATTCCGCAGCTCACAAGTTCCAAGACCACAATGGACGTACGTCAAGTGCCAGTCGTTGACATCGACGCCCTCATGGCCTTCCCTTCAGACGCGGAGGTGGACGCCGCTCTGCACGACGCCAAGGACGGATCCCTCCGCACGATCATCGAGGACGTCCGCGATGCTGCGAGTGAGTGGGGATTCTTCTACATCGCCAACCACGGACTCCCCGAGCAGGACGTGGACAAGTTCCAGACCGCAATGAGGTCGTTCTTCAGCCTCCCAAAAGAAATCAAGAACAAAATTCGTCGTAGCGCCACAAACTCCAGAGGCTACTTTGACGACGAATTGACCAAGAACAAGACGGACTGGAAAGAATGTCTCGACTTCGCAGGGGTCAATGAGGACGGGCCCGCGAGTGACAAGCACGAACGACTAGGAGACGACCAGAATTTGTGGCTTGAAGACAAGCACCTGCCTGGTTTTCGTCAAGAGATGGTCGAGTATTACAACAAAATGGAGTACATTTCGCGTCGTCTGTTGAAGGTATTTGCAGTGGCACTGGGAGAGGAACCGGCCTTCTTTGACCAGTTTTTCCACGGTGACAACTCGAGTTTCTTGAGACTGAATCACTATCCGGTGGCACCTGAACCTGAGAAGACTATGGGGGTGTATCGCCACACGGACGCCGGTGCACTGACGGTACTGTTACAAGACGACAACGTGGCATCGTTGCAAGTGTTCCACCGGGACTCACAAACGTGGACGCTAGTACCGCCACGTAAGGGAACGTACACCATTAACATTGGAGATATGGTGCAGGTCTGGTCGAATGATAAGTTTGTCGCCCCACTGCATCGAGTCTTGGCCAGTGGAGGCGCAGATCGCTTCTCGTCCCCATTCTTCTATAACCCGTCGTATAAGGCGCAGGTGAAGCCGATTGTAGTGAAGGAAGGCGAAGAAGCCAACTACCGACCGCTGAGCTGGCGCGAGTTCCGGCTGGCTCGTTTCCAGGGCGACTACGCCGACAGCGGAAAGGAGATTCAGATTGGCGACTTCAAAATCAACGGACCGATTGACGTTGCCAACTCGTAGATGGTGAATGATCTGAAGATGTGCAGCCCCTAGAAATATGAAGGTGTCATGGCTTTCAAACATAAGAAAGGATAGAATGTCTGGAATGGACCAGTCAAATAAAAGCCCAAACTTGCTAGCACACAGGGTCTTCTTCCGATGCTTTGTTAACTATTTTATCAAGCATTTTTTTTTAATTGCGAGCCTCGTCGGACACATCGGATGTATGTTCATAAATTTAAATCGATCGTTTCCGAGATGTAACCAGTCAATTCCGTCATTAGAAATCGGCAAACTGTGTCTAACACAAGCTTTTTCTGTCCATCCGACTTAATCCTTGTAGCTCGGTTGCTCTTGTGGGCGGAGAATTCATGTAGTTGTGCCCACTACGGCTTCAACCACATCGTCAATGCTTCCCTTACCAGAAGTGATAACTTTCTTGCACGGAGCTATTTGGTGGAAGCCAGAATACAAGTTCTTTCACCTTCACTCTCAGCTCATCGAAACGCCCACAACATTACCTCAACACTTCCCTGTCATTCTCCTTGAAGCCAATGTGATACAAATATGCCAGAGCTGCAATGAAATATCTCGTCATTTCGGTCAGCTTTCGCCTAGCACGAGCCTTCTTTTTTAACATACTTTCTTGAAGATGAGTCTTAACCATTCCACCTTCGAGCCACACTTGCCAAACATGTACTGCTCCAGCGTACTCCAGTGGCAGTTCTCCCTGCTGTAGTCCGAATTCGGTATTCTACTGCGGTAGGTCGACTGGATCTCGCGACTTACTGCGTTGTGATAATCACTTTTCGTCATCCCGTACCTACGTTTCGCTTCCTTCATGGCAGTATATCCCCTCACGTTTACACAGTGCCGACAGTGAGAACTGATGACGGGGTTGTCATTCTCGCATCTACGCTGCTTACAACAGTATTTCACCAATTGTGGCTCGCACTGTTGGTAGCGGGTGTGTTATGAAGTGCACACGCGATGGCAAATTGTAGAATGAGATTTAGTTATTGACTCTAGCTAGCTGCAGCCGTACTCTGTTGTATCCGCCTACAAACTATTTATTGACAAATTCAGTCCTGCATTCTAATTGGCTCTTTGATAAATGACGTGGTTTGCTGTTTTTCGTCATTGTCAATTGACGTATGAAGTGTTTGACGAATCATGTACTGTGTACACAAATACGTCACAGGGTGCCAGTGATCATTTGCATCTTGGTGAGGGCCTTGTTGCTCAGGAACGAGAGAATCGCTTCGTAGACAGATTCATTGGCGATGCAAAAGGAACGGATCTTCTTGGCTGCAACTTTATCGCGCTCTTGTATCTTGGCGCCTTTCTTGTGATGACGAGGGATCCCTCGAGTAGTGAACTCATTGTTACAATACGCGCAAACGAAGTCGATTTTGCGGGTTTTGCTTGTCGTGGATTCCCTTGGTCATTTGTCGTCGTGCTGGTGCTTCGCCATGACTACGTACCCACAAGCACTTTTTGCCGATTTTTCGATTGTGTATTTGACGGATCTTTTTAAGTTTATAAATGTATTCAAGTGGACAACTAGCCATTCTCCGGATGACAGTGCGTTTGGCTTGTTTCTTTGGCTGACCTGTCGTTTAGTTTCAATTATGTCTCGCAACGTCGATCTTTCTCATCGCAGCCGTAGTGAAACCACTGCAGTGCATGGTGCAGTGACTGCACCATGCTGTTTCTCCCTCTTTACGTTTCTGGCTTGGCTAGATATTTCCAGTTGGTTTTTTTGTTCTGCATTATCGTCAATTAAAGGACAAGCGCAGACAGCAAACCCTCACGACAAACACTTCATATTAACTGCAAAGTTTCGATTTCCGTTTTCCTTTTTCCCATTATAAACGTGCAGAGATTTGTGAAGATGTTACGAGCCTATAAAATACGAAAATGTCTGACCTCTCCCCCGCAGCCTACGCGTTCGCAACGTCAATTTGCCCGTGAATCTTGAAATCGCCGATCTGGTTCTCCTTGCCTAGGTCGGCATAATTGCCTTGAACACGCCCCAGAAGAAACTGGCGCCAGCTGAAAGGACAATAGTTTGGCACCTCCTTTTCCTTCACCACGATAGGCTCCACCTCCACATCGTATGCTGGGAGGTAGAAGAACGGAGCCGAGAATCGACCGGCCTCGTTGCTAGCAAGAACGCGATGCAACGGGGCAACAAAGCGGTCGTTGGACCAGACTTGCACTAAGTCTCCAATATTGATGGTATATGTGCCCTTGCGCGGAGGAACATTCACCCACGTTTGTGACTCTCGGTGAAGCACCTGGAGGGATGCCACTTGGTCATCCTGGAGTAGAATAGTCAATGCACCGGAGTCTGTGTGGTGATAAACGCCCATAGTTTTCTCAGGTTCAGGGGCAACAGGGTAATGGTTCAGTCTCATTACACTGGAGTTGATGCCACGGAAGAACTGGTCGAAGAATGCAGGCTCCTCACCAAGCGCGACTGCAAAGATTTTCAACAAACGACGCGAGATATACTCCATTTTGTTGTAATATGTTTGCATCTCGTTACGGAAGCCTGGTAGTGTTGCTTCGCCGAGCCATTGGTTCTGCTCTTCACCCAGTCGATCATTCTTGTTGTTAGGTGGTTCGTCCTCGTGGGCTCCTGCGAAGTCAAAGCATTCCTTCCAATCCGTCTTGTTCTTAGTGAGTTCTCCTTCCACGTAGCCACGTGCGTTGGCAGAGGAGCGGGAGATCATGCGCTTTGTCTCTATTGGAAGGCGGAAGAACGAGCGCATAGTTTCCTTGAAGTCCTCCACCTCTTGTTCCGGGAGTCCGTGATTGGTGATGTAGAAGAAGCCCCACTCACTTGCGGCTTTGCGTACGTTCTCAATGATCTGGTGGAGAGCTTCGGCGTTGGGATTGCGCAGCGCAGCATCAACGTCGATGTTGGGTAACTCCATGAGAGTACCAATGTCAATTACGGGTACTTGGCCGGCGTCCATCTTAATGTTATCTACCTTCGTGGAGTTAAATTGAGGAATGAACCTATCAAGCAGAGAGGAGAGCCTACATTGTACACATTGACGCTGGCTCAATCGAAGTGGTGATTGGTTTTGGACAGCTCTTTCGAAGCAAGGAATGTTGTACGCTTACGTGAGCTCAACGAAGATAGAAAAATGCTATTGCATAATGCGAGCGCACTTCAAGGTGAACAGCCAATCACAACTCGGTCTGAACAAGTGTCAACAATTTGGAGGTATCTTCTCTCCATCTTAGCGTCGCGCATTCTGCTATTCGCCAAAATGGACGTGTACCAAGTTCCAGTCGTCGATATTGGCGCCCTCATGGCGTTTTCAAACGATATCGAAGTCGATTCCGCTCTACGAGATCCAAATCATGGAGATCTTGAAAAGACTATTGGGCTGCTGCCAGCGAGTGGGGCTTCTTCTACATCGCGAACCATGGATTATCGGAGCAACAAGTCAGCGAATTCCAGACTGCGTTGCGTTCTTTCTTCCGTCTACCGAAGGAAACTAAGCGTACCATTCGACGTAGTGCCACGAACAACCGCGGCTACGTCGAGGGAGAGCTTACGAAGAACAAGACAGACTGGAAAGAGTGTTTCGACTTTGCTGGTACCGGCGAAGACGCCCCAGTCGCCGACGAACATGAAAGGCTGGGAGAGGATCGAAACCAGTGGCTTGAGGAGACGACCCTGCCAGGTTTTCGCACTGAAATGCGCTCGTACTACAACAAGATGGAGCACATCGCCCGTCGTCTGCTCAAGGTGTTTGCAGTTGCGTTGGGTGAAGAGCCCGCGTTCTTTGATCGTTTCTTTCGCTCCAATGCGTCGAGCACGATGAGGCTAAACCATTATCCTGTGGCTCCCGAACCAGAGAGGACCATGGGTGTCTACCATCATACGGACTCGGGGGCGCTGACTATCCTGATGCAGGACGACGAAGTCGCGACGTTGCAAGTTCTTCATCGAGAGTCACAGACGTGGGTCAACGTCCCGCCTCGTAAGGGAACGTACACTATCAACATCGGTGATATGATGCAAGTCTGGTCGAACGATCAGTTTGTTGCTCCACTGCATCGTGTGCTGGCAAGTAACGAGGCTGAGCGTTTCTCCGCTCCATTCTTCTACAGTCCGTCGTACAATGTGCAGGTTGAGCCCATTGTGGTCAAACTCGGGGACGTGCCAAACTACCGTCCGATAAGTTGGCGCCAGTTTCGCTTGGCTCGATTCAAGGGGAACTACGCGGATCTCGGCAAGGAAAACCAGATCGGCGACTACAAAATTCACGGAGCCACCGACGTCGCGAACTCGTAGGTCCAGAGCACTACGGCATCCATACTAGTGCGTACCGATTAATGATTGCCATTCTCAATGTAGTATTTTTTCTAGATCTAAATTGAATATGTTGTATGTGGACGTATACAAATCGATAACGTAAGCGTACAAATTCTCTCTAGCGGATCTTTAATCGGCCAATCACTATCCCCATCATTGCATCGTCAAGGCAGTCATTCCTGTGCATTCACGGTCTCCGATCCGCTTGGGACCCGACGTTTACACTGTTCCAAACCTTATTCTGCAATTTGCCACTTCAAACTCAAGATGAACGTCCACCAAGTCCCCGTTATCGACATCGGAGCCCTAATGCGGTTCTCCGACGGTGAGGTTGACACTGCGTTGCTGGATGCCAAGGAAGAAGCTCTGCAACAAATTATCACCAACGTGCGCGATGCTGCGAGTGAGTGGGGCTTCTTCTACATAGCCAACCACGGTCTACCGCAACATGAAGTTGACGAATTCCAAGAGTCCATGCGCTCCTTCTTCCGACTACCAGTTGAGACCAAGCGCACCATCCTCCGTACGGCCAGCAACAACCGCGGATACGTCGTGGACGAACTCACAAAGAACAAAACGGACTGGAAGGAGTGCTTTGACTTCGCCGGTGCCCATGAAGACGGCCCCCCTTCGGACAAAATCGAGCGGCTAGGTGGGGACCAAAACCAGTGGTTAGACAACAAAACGTTGCCCGGATTTCGTCATGAAATGCAGACGTACTACAAGAAGATGGAGTACATTGCTCGTCGCCTGTTGAAGGTGTTTGCCGTGGCGTTGGGCGAGGAGCCGGCGTTCCTTGACAAATTCTATGAAGGGAATCACTCGAGTCTGATGAGACTAAACCACTACCCAGTTGCACCGGAGCCCGAGAAAACCATGGGAGTCTACCACCACACCGACTTCGGAGCGCTTACGATCTTGTTGCAAGACGATGAAGTGGCATCGCTACAAGTGTTGCACCGTGAATCGCAGACGTGGGTCAATGTGCCGCCCCGTAAGGGAACGTATACTATAAACATCGGCGACATGGTGCAGGTGTGGTCGAACGATAAGTTCATTGCACCGCTGCACCGTGTTGTTGCCAGTGACAAGGCTGGTCGCTTCTCAGCCCCGTTCTTCTACAACCCGTCCAACCACGTGACGGTGGAGCCCATAGTGGTGAAGGAGGGCGAGGTGCCAAACTACCGTCCATTCAATTGGCGTCAATACCAGTTGAATCGCTACCAGGGCAACTACGCCGATGTGGGCAAGGAAAACCAAATTGGCGACTTCAAAATCCACGGACCAATTGACGTTGCCAATGCTTAGGCAAGTGAAAATAATAATAAAAAACAAGAGTGAACATTTTCAGTCACACTCAAATACATTTGTGTGTTTTTGCCCTATCAACTGTGCATTTCGTGTGATTTTTCAACTCGTTTTTCGTTTTTTGCTAGCGCCTAATTTCTTGCTATGTTTCTCGTCGTTCTTGATCATTTTCCAGCATATCACGCTGGCCAGCGTGGGTGTGTTGACATGAAAAGCCTTCTCTTTCCTTGTTCACAGTGTCAGAGTCAGTGCCGTCCTTCAGTTACCAGGCACCACCCGACGAGCGCGATCTCCGACGCTCCATGACCGGAAACTTGAGTTCCGGTGCCATCTCCGGCGGCTCGCCACCGGTACGACGGAAGCCAAAGCCCCGCGTGCCATCCGGCCCAATGGCCTGGCGGTACATCTGGTTACTACCGTTGATTCCCATGCCCGGAGGGGGCACCAACACGTTGCCGCCCAGACTGTTGTTGTGTACTGGAGACTGGGCCATCCGCGGCGACGACAAGTTCAGCTTCGGGCGCGTGCCCGACGATGACGAGCGGGCACGGAACGCCGCCGGCTGGGGCGGAGCGCCCACCGTCGCGGCGCGGCTACGCGACTCCCATCGACTCGGCGACGGGGAGAAATAGTCCTTCTGCCCATTTCCACTCGATGAGCCTCCTCCACTCATAGCGGCCAGGCCACTGAGACCGCCACCAGCATTGTTGGCGTCGCCCGTTAGATTGGCCGGCGGGCGGAACTCCAGCTTGACTTTACTGGCATATTTCCGTCCACTCTTCTTGTTCTTCCCAACCGTAAACGACACGTAGTCTCCCTGTCTGATGTCCACATTTCCGTCTTCATCGGGGATCAGACGGAACGAGATACAGGCCGAGTCCTGTCGCGTGGGGGTGATAAGTCCGCCGGCGCCACGGATCGAGTACACTGTGCCCGTGTTCACTTTGCCTTCACGGAGATCGTCCAGACCTTCTCCGACCGACTCCACGTGCACCGGCCGCGTAAGGGCCGAGGCCGACTTGGCCCGACGACGGTCACCACCGAGTTCCACGGGGAACATCTTCTGCTTCAGCTTGTCGCAGTTCGTGCCGTCAAAGAGCACCACCTGCATGCCCGTGCGCCAGTTGTACTGGTCCGACAGCGTCAATACGGCGTGCTTGGTCATCTCGTCGTCCACGAACTCGATGATAGCGTACGTCTCGCCGGCCGCGATGGGAGGCTTCAGCACAGCGTTACGGCCCGTGGTCGTGTTCTTCTTGAGCAGACGGAGATACGAAATCTCGCCGCAGCCCTGGAAGGTTTCACGCAATGATGCGACGGACGCGTCCTCCGGCAAGTTATACGCGATGGCCGTGCGGGCCAGCTTGCCGTGGTACGTCTGGTTGGGGGCCAACGGCTCTTTACGACACACCATGGTCTCGTCTTCATTGAGAAGCAGTTTGGTCGACAATTCCAGCGCCTTCTTGATCTGCTCCATGTCTGTCGTGAGCTTCTTCACTCGGCCAAAGGAGGCCAGCAACTCCAGCTTGACGTATCCGTCCATGTTCATGTTTTTCAACAAGAATAAGTCTCCCAGCAAGTTTTCGTCGCAAAAATAGTACTCCAATTGGTCACAAATTGTGCGTAGGAACGTGGCCGGCAGTGGCGCGCCTGTAACCTCACTGTCTCCGTGATGGCCAGCGTCGCTGTTTTCCTCGCTCGGTAATTGCAGCGACTGCACGGCCTGGCCAATGGCTCCGACGGCCACATCGTCAGTGGGCGGGGGTGGCGGCACCATGATGTTGAGCACTGGAGGCGGTGGCCCTTGAGGGAGCGGCGGCTGAACGGGGAGCAAGTTCTGATTCTGCATCTGCATCTGGTGGTGGCGCTGCGTGGCGGCCGCTGCGGCCGCGGCCGACACCGACGTGTCATCTGAGAAGGAGTTCCAGGCCGAGCCCAGAGCCGACGGCTGGATCGGGGCCGAGAACGAGCGATTGCGGCTAGAAGCGTAATACTGCGAGGCCAGTTGGGCCATGACGTCCATCTCGTCCGAGCGGTCGCCGCTGCGACGGCCAGGTGAGCGGCCATTGTTGCGGTTGTACGGGGGCGAGCCGGCCGAGGACAAGAAGCCGTCGGCCGCGAAGGACGGCAGCGGCGGCGCGTTCTCGTTGTCCGGATTTGACATGGCTAAAAGTCTGGAACGTGAGTCCTAGAAGGGAATTGAAAGACTGAGCTGTGGCAAAATGTACACAGGATGAAGATATCAGTGTCTTATCACTTCACTTTGGACTGACACGGTTCAATATTGTCCGTACCTGTCTCTTTTTTTCTGTTTGGTGTGCCTAGTGGAGAGGATAAGACTGACGTTAAAATAGAGAGCGATTGATTGCGGTTAGCACACATTTTAGGGTGGGAAATAAGGATTGAAAGACGACAATCCAATCAGTCAGATCACCACTCACCTCTTGGCTTCTGCAACGCGGGGCAGAAGAGCAACGGCAACGGCGAGCTTTGTCTTGACGGTGGGCAACGGAGGTTGGGCAAAAAGGTTTCCTATTGTCACTCCGCTTTCTTTTGTGACTCCCCTCTCTCTCTCTCTCTCCTGACGAGGTTCAAAGGGAAGAGTGTCTCTCTCTTGAGGTAACGTGCGAGTTGGCGGCGGACGGTTGGGGTCCAACGCGTGGCAAGTCTCTTCGCGAAGAGGGGGCTGGGCTGCACTGACGGCGAGAGGAAGTTCCTGCTCGCTGCGAAAACTAAGGCGCGTGGTCCGACACTTGATGCTGCTCCTGGTATGAGTTGATCTGTCTCCCCCTTCCCGCGATCTCCCAGGAAGCGGCCGCCGCTCGAGCAACACACACGCAACTTCAGAATGCCGTTAGGTTGCGACAGCACCCATTATGTTGCGTTAATGAGAAAAACCTCATTCTAGGTTTTTCTCGTCTTTCGCGTTTGGACTCTAGCTTCAACACGTGTTTTCTCCGAGCCAAGACATGTAGAGTTGGTGGTGTGCTTGGTCGCGGTTTGGTCGAAGGCAAGGTGGCTAGATGATGTCCACTGCCATCCATCGCCATCTCCAGTGCTTCCAGTCGTAGATAGTAAATCAAGGTTGTAGATGCACAAGTGGGATTGCTCCAGAGTGGGAGCGCTATGACTCATGGATTGCCACATTTCACTTGCATGGATACGACGCGGATTGCCTGGCAGTCGACAGGATTTGCCAGAGAATCATTCACTGATACCGCAGCACTGCTGTGTGCATGAATTGCCGGTGGTCTTGTTGGGAGGACTCGCTTCACCTAACGAGATGGATTCCGGGGTCAAAACAGTTTCGATTACGATGGTCCGCCCTCGACGGGTCTGCAACATGGCTTCATATTTCTGAAGAAAGAAAAAGATGGTTTCTTTCCGCTGCCACTCGATTTGGATGCGCAGATTCACATCCTTATTGATGGCCTTGCGATGGCCTCACGTAATGGCCAGCTTACTTGATTGCTCTGCTGCCGCGACATAGCTGGCTGCGGTGCGCTTTCGGTCGATTGATACCGCAACACCAAGAGTTAAAGTCATTGCTATATTTGCTAAATACATTCAGGTAAGTGGTGGCAGCTTTGTACTTCCTGCTGATGTCATTTTTCCTACGCGAGCATCTCGAGACTGGCCCGAGGTCACGTCGTTGGTGCCGGGGCCGGTACTCGCTGAGTTTTGATTATTGGTGCTATTGTTATTCCCAGACTTGGCTGCATTCTGCACAACCAAAGCATCATTAGTCTGGCTAGATGACAGTGGAGGAAAGCAAAGATTTAATATACCTGGTCCTTATAGTTGGATACAATGTAGTCAAGATCCACAATTCGTGCGGCGATGACCTTGAGCAGGCTTTGGACATACTGTGCGACGTCCATGTCTTGCTCACGCAGCACCGGCAGCTTGTCGCCGAGATCGAGTCGACTGTACAGATTGGTCACTGTAAGCACGATCTGCCCAGACTCGCGGCTTCGATCGTTGGCTACGCGATCGTTGCGCTGTCTATCCAGATCTAATCGCAATGCTTCGGATCGCAGCGTTTCGAGCTGTTGTTGCTGTCCATGAATACTACTATTTTGTACAAGCACAATGTTCTGCATCTCCACTTTCAATGCTCGAATGCGTTGTCGAAGTTGGTCGGTCTCGACCTCTGCGGCCCGAACCTGGGCCTTCAAATCGTTGTTGGTATCCACTAGCGTAGCATGTCGATTGAGAATATCGCCAATTTCTTCGTATTCACCGTCGGATGCTTCCACTGCAGCTTCGAGATATTGACGGTATTTTAGCAACTGATCACGTTTGCGTTCCAAAGCTTCGCGCTCTCGACCGTCCTTCTCCAACTGCATCACAAGCTGCCTTTTGCGAGACTCGTTGATTTCTCCTAATCGGTGCTCGCTCTTACTCTTCAACTCGGCTCGTGTTCGCTTCGAGTCGTTCTCTTTGATGAATTTCTCGAAACGCGCCACCTGCTCTTTCATTTCAGCCTGCTTGCGCTCCAGCTCGCGCTGTCGAGCGTCACACGCTTCCATACGCTGAGCATACTCCTCTTTCATAAAGTCCAGGGCATCGTCAATCTCACGCATCTCTTTACGCTTCTTGAGCAGCAATGTGGACTGTGACATCTGAGAGATGCCCGACACCACGGGCTCCATGTCATTGATCTCACGCAGCGGGAATTTGCCACTTCATAGCAATCAGTTAGTATGCAAGCAGCACAAACAGAAGCAAACGGTATGCTTACTTGGCAATCCGAGCTTCCGTCAGGAATACCCCAGACACATCGTCAAGTGTACTACCGGCACCGGGGTTCGCGTCCTCCATATTTGTTCAGTGTTAGTTGACTAATAGTTCCGCTCGATTTGCCTCTTCCAAGCTGTATCCTTAGTGGATCAATGGACATATAGTGATTGACTGGATGCGAGGAGCTGGTTCATGAACTGCTTGACAAACCAGTCGAGAACGGTGCCTTAATCTGCCCAACTTCGTTCGATGATGCCAGGTGAGAAGCGGAGGCAGTTAGCTATTTAAAAATACCAAATTACCAACAAGCGGTCCTCAAATCACAATATTTATTCACATATCAACATCCAGGTAACTAAGTAGACGCAATTGCAGAATGGAATGAGGCTCGAGTTGCTATCAAGATGAGGTCTCAACTCGAACATCTCTTCATCATCAACACTTCCTCAAGAACTTCAACGTGATCATATGAGCATCATGTGATTCACATCATGGATTCACAAAAACTTGATATTTGACCAATCATGTTGAATCTATACTTACGCTTCCATCCATTGGCTGAAATAGTCAATCGCTCACGCCCAACCAAAAGCTCCACTACTGCCATTGCATCGGCGTATTAGTGACCCTCATGGAGCTGGACCAGGCCATCTCGCTCTGGCGCGGCCGCGCTGCCGACGCTGCGCTGCTTGGTGCATCGTCTTCTGTTGCCAAGGACGGCAGTCGCCTGATTCTGCTGACCTCATCAGAGGATGTACGCGAGATCAGCGCCCCGACTCGCAAGTGTATCAACCACTGGACCTTCCGAGCTGGCAGTGCCCATGCGCTGCGAGTGGCTGCGGCGCGTCATCCGCACTCGCGTGTGCTCTTCGGTGTATGTGGAGCCCCAGGAGTAAGCGCCAGTAAGAAGGCGCGACAGGCCAGACGCCAAGAAGCCAATAAGACGACTGCTTTACCAGCCAATGAAGGCCTTGCTGTCTGGCGCGACACGGATCTGGACGTGGCCAAGTGGCGCCGCTCGCCGTTGCAGTCAAACTCTAAGGCATTTGCGCTATTGGTACACTCGAAGCTGAAGGAGGAGGTCGTTGTAGTGTTCCAAGACGGCTCCTTCACGACTTACGATGAAGATCTGATTAGAGGCCTGCACAGTGACGACGCCAAGGATGCCACTGCGGAGGAGGAAGACGAGGATGACGACGATGACCAAGAGGAATCTGTAGTGTGGGCCTACCTGGAGACGGACAACCGTAGTCCAGTCAAGGGCGCGTTGTTCCTGTCAATCTTGATGCAGAAGACGAACAAGAAGGGCGACAAGCAGCTCGAGCTTCTGGTGTATCAAATCACAATCCCGAACACTCCCAGACGTATGGGAGGCGCCCTGGGAGCTGTGCTGCTCGTACGTCGTCGTGTCAACTTACCAGACAACGAAGAGCTGTCCTCCTGTGCTTTCCACGCTGAGACTTTCTCGTACTCAATTATCGGCCGCTCAGGCACCTGGCAGACGCTGCGCTTCTCTCGTGACGCATTGACCAACGCTCTGACACTCGTGGCTTCACAGCAAATGCCCAATTTATCGTCAGCGGAGACCGATTCATCCATCCCAGTGCACAAGAAGCGTAAACTCCAACCATCAGCTTCCGGTTACCTGGTAAGCGGCGTCGGCAACTACACGTATCTCATCAGCACACCTCTGGATACCCCGCTTAAGTTCACAGGTTGGGACTCCAAGTTCGCTGTACCTGTGTCGAACACAGAAATCAACTTGGCCTCAGACCAGGACGGAGAGAACGAGGTCGTTGTCGGACGTAGCACCAAGGACGGCGTCGGTAAACCGGTACAACTTGTCAGTGTAGGCGCCGGTGATGCAGTACTCGCTGCCTACGAGCGCGCGGCCTTCCTTATTCACGTGAGGAACAAGAACTCGACCCTGGTCAGTGTTCTGGGAGCCACAGCATCGACCACTTTGAGCTCTACGACGCCTGCAATGCCCGACAGTTCAGTGCAATGGGAGACTGTGACGGGAACCAGCAGCGTGAATAACGACACGCTGGACGCCGAGACGTGGAAGGCGAACATGTGCAGTGGCGACGACCGTGAGCGTCAGTTGATCGCCGATCTGTCGGACCCTCAAGTCACTCCTACAGCTGCAGAATTCACGAGTCGTCTGGATGAGGCACTGAAAAAGCAGAAGAAGAGAAAAGCCGGCAAGGAAGGAGAAGAGCTGTCGTACCGGTTGTTGCAGACGGTGACTCGCCGGTGTTTGGACTCGACGGATCTCGAGTTGTGGGGACCGCTTGAAGCCATGCTGCGTACCGACAGATTGTCGGCCCGAGCGAAGCCGACGCTGCTGCCTACTCTGATGAAACACAACCAGTTCGCCCTGCTGGAGTGCGCTATTGTGCACCTTGTGGACATCGACGAGCGCTCGATTGTGCGACTGTTGAAGTATTTTATCCGCAAGAGCAGCCACTCAGCATTCACGGATTTTGTGACGAAGCAAGCTAAGAAGCAGAACAATAAAGCAGGGAAAGTTGACGGCATTGCGGCCTTCGAGAGGTTTGCAGTCGCGCTTCTGGGTCTGCCAACGAATGGCGTGTTCCTGCATCGAGCTATTCGTGAGCTGGAGCTTGAGGAGGTTCTGCTGGTGCTTGCTATTAGCAAGAAGTTGCTGCTGGTTCACACGACTGGGGACGATGAGGACGAAGAGCAATCGACAAAGAAGAGTAAGAAGAAGAATGATAGTCTGGCGGTGATGAAGGAGGAGCGACGCTTTACTCCGCTGCCCTCGGCTTCCAAGTGTTGTGCGTGGATCTGTGGGCTGCTGGACGCGCACCTGTCGACTCTGGTGCAGCGCGCTTCTCAGCACCCCGAGGTCGCTCGCGCACTGCGTCAACTGGATGAACTGGTGCAGCTGCAGCTCCGTGCGAGCGCGCAGTACGAATCGGTACACGGCGTGCTGAGCAACTTCCTGTCCGGCGTGAGGCTGCCGCGCGCTCCGGGACTTGCCGACTACAGCATCGAGGAGCTGCGTCTGTAGACCTCGACACAATAGACACATTCATCTTGCACTTTGCTCGTTAATCGTATGCTCTTTATGTGTGTAGTTTGCTCTTCTAGCGTCCACACAGTTGCCAATCGACCCCTTCAAATCACAACACGTCCACTTACAAACATCAAGTGTACTGTAAGCTGCCCCCTCAACCAGCAACTCCGTGTTGGAGAGGGGGATGCCTCCAAACCCCAAAACGGCCCGGAAGATCCCAAGCCCAAAGCAACTTAGCAGCAACTAGCGCTGCCATCCACGCAAGCACCAAGCCCAACCGTATCAAGCTCTCTGCATCTTTTTATCTTAGTTTTTTTTATCCCTTTAGCGAGCCAAATAGCAACAATGACGCAGCAGCAATCCACGAACGACGAGGAGAACTGGAAGGCCTCCCTCAAGCGGCCGGAGAAGGACACGCGCGTGCAGACCGAAGACGTGACCAACGTCAAAGGCAACGAGTTCGAGGACTATTTCCTCAAGCGCGAGCTGCTCATGGGCATCTTCGAAAAGGGCTTCGAGCGCCCGTCCCCCATCCAGGAAGAGGCCGTCCCCATTATCCTCGCGGGTCGCAACGTCATGGCCCGAGCCAAGAACGGCACGGGCAAGACCGCCGCCTTCATCATTCCGTGTCTGGAGAAGACAGACACTAGCAAGAAGCACATCCAGGTGCTCATTCTCGTCCCCACACGCGAATTGGCGCTGCAAACGTCGGCCATTGTCAAGGAGATCGGCAAACACATGGGCGTCGAGTGCATGGTGTCCACGGGCGGCACGAGTCTCAAGGACGACATCATGCGTCTGTACCAGACGGTGCATATTCTAGTGGGCACCCCAGGGCGCGTCATGGACTTGGCCAATAAGGGCGTGGCCGACCTCAGTCAGTGCTCTACGGTCATCATGGACGAAGCCGACAAGTTGCTGTCGCCGGAATTCCAGCCTCTATTGGAGCAGCTACTGAACCACACGGCCAAGCAGCGTCAGATCTGCCTCTTCTCGGCCACATTCCCCGTCACGGTCAAGGCGTTCAAAGACCGCTTCGTGGAGAACCCGTACGAGATCAACCTCATGGACGAGCTCACATTGAAAGGTGTATCGCAGTTCTACGCCTTCGTGGAGGAGCGACAGAAGGTGCACTGCCTCAACACGCTCTTCTCCAAGCTGGATATCAACCAGTCCATCATTTTCTGCAACTCGGTGAACCGTGTCGAGTTGCTGGCCAAGAAGGTTACGGAGCTGGGTTACTCGTGCTTCTACATCCACGCCAAGATGAACCAGGCGCACCGTAACCGCGTGTTCCACGAGTTCCGTAACGGAGCTACTCGACACTTGGTGTGCTCGGATCTGTTCACACGCGGTATCGACATCCAGACGGTGAACGTCGTGATAAACTTCGACTTCCCCAAGAACTCGGAGACGTATCTGCACCGTATCGGTCGCTCTGGGCGGTACGGCCACCTCGGTCTGGCCATCAATATGATCACGTACGATGACCGATTCAACCTGTACAGGATCGAGCAGGAGCTTGGCACAGAGATCCGACCGATTCCGCCGGTTATTGACCGCAACTTGTACTGCAAGTAAAGCGTGTGTCAAGGTGAGATGTCATGGGATTGGAAAAAAAAACTACAAACGAAGGAACTTGAGCGTGAATGCGAAGGCGGCAGTCGAGAGGGTGGAAGAAGGGAGGATGAAGATGAAGAGCGCAGAACAAACAACCGTGGGGATTACGATACGTATCTCTTGGCTGGTTTGTTTGGGTTGTGGATGAATCACCCTTTGGGTGTAAACAAAACGAGGAAAAGTGGCAGAATCCAGCAAGTGAGCGACCGAACATGGTGCGCTGTGTGTGGACGAAAAGGAGACAGAAGAAGGTGGATAAGACGGAAACATGCGACGAGCGAGTCAAGCGAAGAGAGCACGTTGCGTGGGAGGTGGAAGTATCCAACAGCAAGCAGCAAACCGTGGCAATCAAGGTGGTCAACACCCAGACATTTGGGTGGTCTGGCAATTGCGACTTTATCTGAGATCGTAGGGTAGTGAAGCATAGTAGCACGGTGACGTGGATCGATCTGGTAATGCTGTCATAAAGCTGAAGTTGAACGACCATCAGTCAATTGCTTCTGATCTGGTCGGTGTGCCGACGGCATGTGCCATGCGCGTTCGTCTCTAATCAGGTTTTCGCGGTGCCGCGGGCCAGTGTCTGCCTTTGCCACCATGAAGCAGAGCTGTCGAGACCGATAGCTGATGCTTGCTGAGCGCAGGCATTTTTTTACATGTATCTTGGAGGATGTTCGGAACTTCGGACAGCTCAAACGCCGTCGGCAATTGCGGCGCTACAACTCTCCGCACTCTTTGGTGTCGGTCGTGCATCCGAGCGCCGCGCAGAAGAGCTGCGACGCCAAGGTCGAGCCCAAAGCGACGCCTTGAAGAACGTTGCGTACTGTATACATGTATGACACTTAGGATCGCAGGCGGTTCTTCCAAGCCCCCATCCTAGCAGAGCCCTCCGCAGCGTCGCTGACGACGTCGCCTGCCATTCCATTCCAGCCGGGGATCACCTCGCTTGATCGATCGCTTGCATCGCACTGCTTTGCTTCGTTTAATGACACGTTGGACACCTTCATGTAGTGGGGGAAACTGCGTTCGGCTCATATTATAAATACGTGGCCTGCCTCGGCCAACCTCTAGACTACTATACGATTCTATGCCGTCGTTCCTAAGTGATAAATAATTCTCCTTGTCTTCAAAACTCCACCTCCGCAAACACCCGCCGACGAGACGCCACAGGCGCCACCATTCCCAGCTTGCCGACAGGTGGAATGGCCCACTCCCGCATCCCACAGAGCTTCTGGGTCTTGACAGCGCGCTCGCTGCCGCTGCGTGTAGGGAACAGACTGCTGCGCTGCTCCTCGCCGTCCTCGGGGCGCATCTCTTCGAACGAGCGTTTCCGGCCTTCCTTAGTGCTGGGCGTCGTCTTGACGACCGTCTCAGTCTTGGTGATGGCCGCGACGGGCTGTTGCAAGAAGTCGCGCACGAGCGTTACGAGTTGACGCCCGACAGTGCACGCGTGTAGAAGACTGCGCTCCTTGTAGAGCGCGGACACGCGCGCGACGAGGAACTGCAGCAGCACGTTGAGCGTGCTCATGGTTTCCTTCTCCTGCGCACGCAGGTCGCGGATGATCTGTCGGAACGCGTAGTGGTCCACGATACCAGCCAGCCACTTGGCCAACAGACTCGGTTTCTTCTCCTCCTGTGGCTTCTCCTGACTGTTGCAAGTGCGGCGTTTCACGTCGCGCGCGAGGGTTTCCAGTGACCCCCAGAGCGCGTCGAACTCGCCCATGGTCTTGTATACGAAGTAGACGCTCGCGGGCGCCGCGGGACGGACCTGTACCGCGAATTTCTCGTCCTTGCCGCCGATGCAGGACGTCACCGTCGCTGCCAGGCCTCGCATGTTCATTACGGCGCCTGTACTTGTGCTAGTTGTCTGTCTGTGGGGCAAATCGCCTAATGACAGCGGCGTCGGGCCAGGCGCACGTAGAGAGAGCTGCACGGCGCAGCGACGGGACATGGAACCCTAACTCGCTGACCACTGCGTCGGACCGGCTCGTAGCCGTCTGTCAAGTCCGATGCTGGGCCGGAAAAATGAGTTTTGGGTCGCTCTGCGACGAGCAGATCGGGCGAGTGCTCGCAAGCTTCAACGCGGTTTCCAGGCTGTTGGTGTCGTTAGACGATGACTTTGATCAACTTTCAGCGACGACTGATAGAGTCGCAAATGCGAGACAGGATCTGGTCGGATCGCGGGGCCCCATTATTTATCTGCTGGGCGGCTGCTATCAGTTGGGAGACAACCATGTCCACAGATGGACGTCCGGAAGGTGGGGGTCGATCAACCTCCACAAAACCATTGACGCCATGGCAACAGTCAGTGCGATAAGCTGCCTGCTGGTTGGGTGTCAGGCGGCTGCATTTACGGCGGTGGCGCGACCAGAAGAACGCAAACCAGCGTCTCAGACATGAAGTGATTCAGGGTATCAACCTGCAGTCACCCTACCTTTATGAACGCTGCGGAAACTACGTGTATCAAGAAGGCAACGGTGGATTTTCAAACGTTATGCAAGACAGGAGGCAATGGCATACAAACTCCAAGTGAAAGGGCGGTTGAAGGACAAAGGGTACGAGTGCCTCTGAGTCCACTAACTTGTCAGCACAAAGATGCAGCGGGGCCAACTATTGTGACAGATCACGAGCAGCTGTTCCTGAACGACACCTCGTCTGCTGAAAGAAAGACTTGATGTTTGTATGGAGCCATCACGCCAGTCAACTCCAAGGGACGTGAGTAACGGGCTATCCAGCGATGTCAAAGTCGGCTCGACACTTGGCGGTGCAAGTTTTCCAACGCCACATGACAATAATTGCCTCCCATCTAGTGAAAAAAAAAAAAAGTAGGCATATGCTTGCACGGTGTCCACAACTGCAGTGTTACTGCTGGGGACTACGCCAGACATGGAGCACTGCTGGCGTTCTACCTCGAGGCTCGCCACGCGGATGGCAACGATTTCGCTCGTCTCGTTTCTCGCGGTCTCCGCTCCCATTTCTGTCAAGCAACACCATGACTGTCGTTTCATTGTGTGTCGGCGACACATCCGCGAGATCGGTCTGCAAAGGAGACTGCCGGGGACCGCCTTGGAAAGGCAGCGTGGAGCCTCGATGACGAGGTGGCACTCTCACGCCTCCGTGTCACGGTGCCGATCTCGGAGCCAAGCATCGGTCTCGGCCAGGTCCGCGGGATGTCTAAGCTCGCCATTGGAACGGCCCAGTTGACTTGAGTCCAGTATGCGTCGCTAAAATTTGAAAAACGCAGGCTTGTCCCCGAGACGATCGCAGTGATGGCGTGGCCCCAGCTCTGCGAGCTCGCTTCAACATTCGCCACGCTCATTTCTCAGCGTGCAGACGTTGAGGCAAGCATCCTTCCTTTTTGATCCATGCGTTTTTTGTATCGCTTCCGAGTGCTCTGCCGAGACAAGATTCGACGAGGGTGCCAGAACGACGATAAAGCACTAAAATCAAGGTGAGTCGCAGTCTCTTCTTGCAGCGAGTGCATCGTGCTCGACCACATAAGAACTCTATGTCGCGAGTCCTGGATTGCTGCGAGCCATAGGGCTCCATCCATCCGTGGAGACCAAACCGAGCTGGGTCCTCCGGTCGTAAGTCAAGATCGGTTGACCCATGGCGTGTTTAACGTCAGAAATCAGCGCTGAACCGAGAGTGTAACTCACGAAATTATCCCCGTCACCGCGACGCTCGACACTCTGTTGTTGCCAGTTTAATGCAAGACGCTATCAGCGTTGAGTCGAACTTGTCACGTGTTCGCCACTCTGTATTCGTGGGGGAGCACTAGTGAGTCTTTATTACGCACGAGTTGGGCGACACGCTCCTGAACATTTAGTCAGTGGTGTCGTGTTTGCAGTGCAGTCTTGGCTCAAGGCCCTTGATACAAAAATCATCGGATACCGGACACATCAGCATCAGTCACAGCGCTGATTTAGCTGATCGTTGATCGATCTCTGCAGCTACGCAGTGTCTCAATGGCTTGCCACTCGACAGCGTCGTTATCCGCAAAAATGTCCTACCGAGCTGATTTTGTGGACCGATGTAAGCTTCTTGGCGCCCAAAGTCACAGAGAGCATTGTAGTCGCGGTGCTAATTAATCGTGTTTCACATCTTTTGATTGCAAATGTTCTCATTCGTGGTACATACCTGCATCCACCGAAAACTGCAACTTCAACTATCAGAGTGATGGTTCTTCTTCAACATCAGAGTGGTGGTGGTAGTCCCAGTTATCCCCGCTATCTTTGGCGATCTATGTAAAGGGATCTCAGGCTGTTGTGGACTTACGCTCGCTTAAGTTCTTTTAATGTCTGGTGATACTGCAGGTTGCTGACTGAGCTACCATCGCTGTGAGGGTTTCAAGCTTGTCACTGCCTCCGGAACATCCGATGTCGCTAGGGCGAAATCCAGACCTTTCACCGTCCACGAGGGAGAACGCGCGGTTGTTTCTACTTTCACCCGTGTCGCTACGGCCCATGACCAGCCATGCTCGAATTGAAGGTGGCGCACTGTACACGAAAGGCGAGCGCGAGGTCGCGGATACGCGCCCAATCCCGCGGAAGAGCTTCCTGCCTCAATTGGCCGCAAAGACTGGCAATGGCCTCGCAACTTTAACGGAAGAAAACTCAGACAGCGATACCTACAGACAGAAAATGTGGGCAGGTCAGGCCAACATCTTGGTGACCGTGCGTTTGCGTCCGCTTCTGAGTCACGACCGAGATCGCGTGGAGATTGTGAAAGTTTTAGGGAATAAAGAGATTGTCGTTCTCACGCGCAGTTCGGAGTCGATACCAATTGCAAATTCCTCTGCGCGACGGCATTCGTTGCACTCGCATCGGAAACCACGCCACACGTCCGCTTTTCCTGCGATGGCAAATGGATCACGCAGACGTGAAAAACGCTATGCGTTTGATTATGTTTTTTCCGCAAGTGATGGTCAGCAAAAAATTTATCAGCAAACCACGAAATTTCTGATACACGGAGTACTAAACGGTTTTAATGCTACCGTGTTTGCCTATGGCTGTACTGGAGCAGGGAAAACGTACACGATGCTTGGCACAAAAGAGGAGCCTGGTATCATGGCGAGAACATTGGAAGATCTTTTCCGAAACATTGAACGTGTTCATGCAGACCCAGCAGGACGTGTGCGATACCGAGTGACAGTCTCTTTTCTAGAAGTTTACAACGAGAATATCCGCGATCTGTTGTGTGCTAGTTCGTCTTGCTCGTCTTCTGTCGCAATGCCAACATCCGAGTTTCTAGATTTGCGTGAAGATCCGATTCGAGGGTCTGTTGTAGCGGGATTGTTGGAGGTGGAGGCGAATAATGCACAGGACGTGATGAAATTATTGCGTAGAGGCAACAAGTACCGATCACAGGAGAGTACGTCAGCTAACTCCGTCTCCTCGCGATCACACGCAGTGCTTCAGGTGCATATCGAGCAGCAAGAGAAACTGGCGGACTCGGAAAATTGCGATACTGATAACGTTGAAGTAAAATTTGGGAAATTATCACTTGTGGATTTAGCAGGAAGCGAGCGAGCTGCCGTGACACAAAACCGTGGTCAGAGGTTACTTGAGGGAGCAAATATTAATCGATCATTGCTAGCATTGGGGAATTGTATCAATGCGTTGGGAGAAAAGGAAGGAACGTTTGTGCCTTATCGAGACAGCAAGCTTACAAGGCTTCTGAAAGATTCATTGGGTGGAAATTGCCGAACGGTGATGATTGCCAACGTTAGCCTTGCAGCATCAAGTGTGGAGGAAACGTTGAACACTCTCAAATACGCTAATCGAGCCAAGAATATCAAGACGACGATAACAAGGAACATTGTTGAGTCTGATAATTCTTTCAACCAGAGCAACCTTGTGGCAAACCTTCAGGAAGAAATTGCCACATTGAAGAAGGAACTTCTTCGGCAACAAGAAAAAGCGGAAATTAGTCGACATTCTCCGCCAGAATCGGAACGACGCTGGGTCGAAAGCAAGAAATCTTTGGAGAATGAAAATGTTGACAATAACTTGGAAGAAGAAGACTGGATGACGTCAAAACTACGTGAAGCTCGTCAATACATTACGCAGTGTTTTCAAGAGCGTCGGAGATTGCGTCACGCACTATTGAAGATCGAACATCAGGTTAGTACATCAATTTTTCTCCGTAATAACATGCTTGAACTAACGAATGTTTTTTTATGTCAACAGATCAAAAGTCGAGCACAGGAACTTCAAGATAAACAGAATCCACCTGCCTTAATCACAGAACCAAACAACGCGCAGTCTTCTTCTCCCCCTTCTAAGTCATCGACTGTAAATGAACCCCAAAGTCAACAAAGGGAAGGGAAAGCATCTGTGGCAGACACAACACTGCAAGAAAATAACACAGCCGTGGAGGCAGCAAAGACGGATGTTAAAGACCAGCAACTCGCTTCTTTATTGTTGGATAAGGAAGGCCTGATGCAACAACTGACCAGAAACGAAAGAGCAATGGACGAGTTTCGGCGAGGAATTGAGCAAAGTCCGTTAATGGAGCGCAACGAATTGATCCGCGAGGTTTTACTGATGGAATTTCGAATTGGGAGTTTGGAAATTGACAAGATGCAGCTTCAAACTCTGCACGACCTGCAAATGAACGTTGGCGTTGGTGAACATGGGAACAATGACGACCTTCTTACAGGGCATCTAGATGGCAGCCTTATCCCTAATGGCGGACGAGAACTTCACCTTGATCTGCCAGCTCTTGTTTCGGATAGATCCCAACCTCAAACCTCTGACCGGGATAGCAATCGTGTACATCTTCCGAAAATCAAGGCAAGTAAAGGGTTCTTGGAGGAGCTGCGTGTGCATCTTTACCCAAGTAAATCGAATAGTAATCGTGACAAGCATCAGGAAGTGGCGCACACAGTTGCAGTATCTCCCGTGACGAACAACAAACATTGGGGCATCCACCTGAACAACGCTTCACTACCGTACATTCGTTTAAAGAAGAAGAACCCCATACCGCTATACGTCCAGCCAACCACATCTGGAAGTCTTGCAGAAGTACTAACACTGGGAAGAACACCGTCAACGAAATCGGTAGCAGAGCCTTACCTCAAATCGCTCAAGAAGCGACACAAACCTCGTGGTAAGCATAGTAAAAACGCGAAGTAATAATATTCTTGACCGATATTACTTGTTCTTGTAGATGCCACCACATTACTATATATTAAGGTGTAGTATTATCTACCAAAGTCAAATATTACTTCTTCACTTTAAGCTAACGATTATAAAATCGTTAGCCGTGGGTGAAAAACGTTGGAGTGAATATTTATGATGAGTGAGTTTACGAGGGTCCGGCATCAAGGTTTCACTTCAAAACGTCTCGGAAATGGAGTTGTTCCGTTTGCGGAATGCCGGTGAAGGCCGTTCCGAACCTCCGTCCATGCCTTCCGAGATCTGCGCACGGATCTTTTCGTAAAAGCGTTTGAACTGAAAGATATCCACCTGCCACAATACAAAACACATTAGATCAGTTAAGCACAAAAAAAATTTCGACAGATGAACGTACGTGGCCACGTCGGAACTCGACAAGATATACACCGCGCTGGAAGAGGAACACTTGCACCGTGCAGGTCAAGAGATTACCATACCGCACTTCGAGTTGGTAATTGTCCCAATCAATGGACACATTCTGCGGCACTGTGGGATACTCGTACGGAAGTGGGCAAGGGGTGGTCTTCAACGCGTTTTCGACGTTAGAGAGCACCAAGCGAGCGGGTAGTGCAGTCAAGAAGCGTGTCGAACGAGCCACAACATCACTATACGAAGGAGGCGGGACGCTGGCTGCTTGCTGCTCAGCTTGGACATCTTTGCTCTCTCCTGAAGTTGCTGCGAACGCCAGAGGTTCTGTCAGCATACGGTTAATAGGAACACCGGGTTTATCGTCCCGAGTCACAATTGATTGTGGGAGAAGGGGAGGAGAACGACCGAGGATATTGATCCCATCGAAGCCACTGGTATTTCCAACATCTCCTTTGGAGAGCTCACGAAAATGTCCTCGAGCAAACCCACGTAGAAATAGTTCCGGCGGCGAGTTGCGACGAAGTCGAATGGGCATAGTATCTCTCGGTCCAGTCACAAGCGGAGGCGATACAAATCGATGCTGTCTAGTAACAGTCTGCTGTACCAGATGAGCAGATCCAGCTACGTTCTCACCGCCAATCTCTCTCACAGCGAGGTTCATTGACGTCGTCACGGTGGCTTCTCGGACGAGCGCCTCCTGTTTAAAGAGCGCTCCAGCTTCAGAGATATTGCAAGCGTTTAACTCTTTCGTCGAAGAAATCATCGACGCATCTTCGCGATCGGACTCAAAATTGTCGTTGTTCTTGGCATCGCGAGGAGAGTTTATAGGCGTTTGACCAGACATGGAGGACGTCTCATCCAGTGGAGGCATGTAGCCAACCACGCCAGCTAGATGCTTGTTCACGCGAAGATTTTGCTGTGGAGACGGTGGGCATCGGAACGCGTGTCCATGAGGACTGGGAGACTTAGTAAGCAGTCGAGTGATCGCTTGTGGAGACACAGCACCCAGTTGACTGGGGTGCATGTGTTGTCCCAACTCAATACCGTCCTGTAAGGTGTTAATCGCCACGTTCATACGGTTCTTGTGCGTTGGATGAGGTGCTGGCGGTAATCCTGGTGGACTGAGAGCTGCGCTATTGCTCGGCTGATCATCTTCCGACATTGACGGACACGGTTTCTTGAGTTTCTCTCCACGTACCCATGTGTGACGTTGCGCTTCTTCCACCGATAGACGCATACAAGCATCCGGATAGAGTAACTGAGCGATCAGAGACTTCAATTCCATTGAGAAATGTGCTGGAAAAAACCACGTCGGGAACTCCACCTCATCTGTAGGATCGTCGTCGCTGTACTTGGTATTATACGACCATTTGCGGAATCGATCGTAGCGTACGCACTTGAGTAGATCTTTCCCAAACGGCAGGTTCCCTGCGATCATAGCGTACAGGATAATACCAATAGACCACGCATCTGCCTTTGCGCCGTCGTAACCTTGACCAGCATCCATCAGAACTTCGGGCGCAACATAGTGCGGAGAGCCCACAACCGAGCGCAGTCGTCGAATAGCTGGCTGGTCCACGCCGTTGCCATTGGCTCCAACACTTGCATCGCTGTCTGTGATGGCGAAAATGGCCGATAGCCCGAAATCCGCGATCTTCAGCGTGGAATGCTCCTCGTTATCGGCTAGTAGCAAGTTTTCGGGCTTGAGATCTCGATGGCAAACCCCCGAGTTGTGGCAAAAAGCGACTCCAGAAATGAGCTGACGGAAGTACAGACGTGCTGTCTCTTCACTGGTGCCACAATCCAGCTTGATACGGTCGAATAGCTCGCCACCCCCAGCCAACTCGAGTACCAGGAACGTAGTGCATTTGCTGTCTTGAACCAACTCCAGAGCTTCATCCAACCGCAGCACGTTCTCATGATACTCCAACCCCGACATATTGGAGATCTCGCGATGAATCGATCGTCGAGTGTGTGCGAACTTAATGAATTTCTTTGGAATTCTTGGGACTTTGATGGTCTGATTCTTCACTTGCACTTCTTGGTACAATTCGGCTGGATCGGTTTGTTGCCGCTCTGCACCACTCTCGCTCTGGTTCATTTGCTCGCCCCACACTTGAATACACTGCGGCAGTGTAAGCTCCCGCACATGTCCAGTGTGTGGATCCTCGAACGCCGCAATCGCCTGTTTGGACGTTGGATGAATCAACCACCACACGTTCTCGACTCGAATCCGCTCGGTTGTTCCCTTTGGAGAGCCAAAGTTTGATCGCATACGGTGGTTCCCTCCTGCGAACACACGTCGATTGGCTCTCTGTCCTGCATCATCGTCAAGTTCCGCTTCATCCGACGGCAGCACCAAAGGTTTGCCCTTCACGGCGACTATACAGCGAGCCAGTAATGTACTGGGGAACAGCTTGTATCCCACGGGGTTTAGTATCTTGATAGCCACGTGCTGCTTCGTACGTGTCGAGAAAGCCTCATAGACTCTGCAATAGTAACAATTAGTGTCGATTTTTATTAACAATTCTCGGAATTTCAACGTACACTCCAGCTGCGCCGCCTCCGAGGTATCCTCCGAGCTCATAGATGAGTTCATTACCGCTGTAGATGGCCTGGCCGTCGTAATGATCCACCTGGATGGTCTGAAGCTTGCGGCGTCTTTCGTTCATCATGGTGTTTGGCAGTTTTAACTGTACTTCTCCACCCTATAGAGCTCTACAGACCACGAGCACGTAGTTGAATCAGAAGCAGAACGGGTGGCAATCGATATGAAGCGCAGAGAGCGCCAGGAAGCCCACGCAGGACAATAACCAGCTGCCAAATCAGGGAATGGGCTTTACCTGCTTTTTGGAGCGTCTAGCGCTCGGATTTCGACCGGAGAAGCGCCTACACGAGCTCAATGAACTGCACTGTCGAGTGAGAGAGCTCGAGAGAGGCTTGGTGCGGCGCTGCACTCGCTGGAGCGAGTGTCCTTTGGTGCTGCGTCTGTCGCGTCCCCAGCGAGACTTGATGACTGGGACGGGCAACCGACTCAGATGGTACCTGTGCAGTATTTCGACCAATAGAAGAGCGTCAATTCGCTTTTGCGCCAATTGAGGCAGAGATCTGGCTATTTCTGGCACGACACTGTAACGGATGCCGATAAGTCTTCGGAGCACTGTAGGTACCTAGGGCAACTCCATAGTGAACGCTAATGAGCCGTAACGCAGGTTTGAGCTGAAGGGTACGAAGGATCGGCTAATAGCGGCCGCTAGCAAGCACAGACACAATTCTTTGGGTTGGCACGAAGTGCCACGATCGGGTGCGAAGTGCAGGCTTCGTCGTAATGGCACGCGTTCGCAGTGAAGTTCGACATGTGATATTGAAGTTGACTAAACGCTTCATGATTGGCTGACGAACTAGGTGTAGGTCATATCCCGTACCAAAACACGGTTAGTTTCTTCACCTCATTTCGATAAATGAGCATGAGAAAAAAGACGGTCATTTCCACCAATCACAGAGCATTTCTAAAGCGACGCACAATTTATGCGGGCGAAAAGTGAGCTCGAAATGCTGAGCTTTGCACTGACCAACTTTCATCGCCGCTGTCTGTTGCCGACCACAAGTTCCTTCAGTATCTCAACCATGAGCAAGGCTTTGCTGCAGGACATCGCGCTGACAAACGCCATGGGCGAGTCCGTGCAGGGCGAAACGCTCGGCCAGGACGGCAAGGTGCTTGCGCTCTACTTCGCGGCAGACTGGTGTCCGGACTGCCGCGCTTTCCAGCCGGCGTTCAACAGGTTTTACGAGACTGCAAAAGACAACCTGGACGTGGTCTTCGTGGGCTCCGACGCCTCAGCCAAGGATCAACTAGCACATTTCACGGACAAGCAGGGTCCCTGGTGGATGGTACCTTTCGAGGGCGAGACGCGCACGCTGCTCAAGCGCAAGTTTGGCGTTTGCGCCGGCGCCGAGGTGAGCGAGCTACGCCCCATCACGCGCAAGGGTGGTATCCCGACGCTCGTGGTCATCCGCCCCGATGGAGAGGTCGTCGACTTCCACGCTGCCGATAAAATTGAGCGCGATGGCATCAAGGCTCTCGCGGCCTGGCAGCAGTAAAATGAATCAGCAAGATAACTCGCATCCAGTGGTTAAATAAACTGCACTGAACGTTCACTTGCTTCTGAAATGTCGAGATCTCCCGACTCCAGATCTCCCGACACCAATAAGTACAGCTTATTAGTAGTCCACGTGGCGCCATGAATGGATCATCAAATACCGCTTGAAGCGGCTCGCTCGCTGCGTTCACATGTAGACGAGCGAAACATGCACATCTGGTGACACGCGCTAGCCAATCATAACGCTTTTCATCATTCGTGAGCGTGACTGGAGAAATGGCGGACGCGTTGCTGCACGGCACGACGCTGGTGAACGCCAAGGGCGAGACGATCGACGGGGGCGACGTCGGCAAGACCGGATTGCTGGCGTTGTACTTCGCTGTACGTCCATGCACCTCTATGCAGCCTAAAACCCCCAATTCTAACGCTGCTCGATTTGAATAGGCGAACTGGTGCCCGGACTGCCGCGCCTTCCAGTCAAAGCTCAATGACTTCTATGCTGAAGCGAACACGTCAACGCAGAACCTTGATATCGTCTTCCTGAGCTCCGACATGTCAGAGGAAGACCAGCAGGCGCACTTCTCGACCAAGCACGGTGACTGGTGGATGGTACCTCGTGACGCCGAAATCCGCAATGAGCTCCGCCGAAAGGTGAGCATTGCTCCCCAACAACGTGTTTCTGCCGCAGTTTGGCTTGTTTACTGACCTGATCTGATGAACGTATCCGTATCATGCAGTATGGTATCCGCAATGGCAAGGACGACGTGGAGGTGGGCGTCACATACCGAAACAGCGGCATCCCAGCTCTCGTGATCATCCGTCCCAATGGCGAGGTCCTGGACTTCCAGGGTGTCCAGCAAGTCGAAAACGACGGTATCAAAGCGCTAGCGTATTGGCAATCCAAGGTACAGAGCAAAGAGCAGTGAAACTCACTCTCAAGCAGCTAGGTAACAAAGTCTTGATACATGCACATTATTTGGGCCTTTTCATTTGGTTTTTGAGGTGATACTCCACACCACCGAGCAATAAAATAAAGAAACTAGTCATACCATAGCTAACTTATCACGGCAACCATCACCTCCACCTACGCCGTCGCCGACACTGCCACACTCGCCGCTTCGGCGTAGAGGCAGTTGCCGAGTTCCTCGAACGCGTCGGGGCTGATTCGATTCTGCTCCGCCGCCACGAGCATCTCTTTGTACATGGCATTGCCCAGTGCCGCAAACATGCCGGCTGTGAATCCCTGGGGCATGGCATTGTCGTCACTACCATCGGTCACCGACAATGTCTGTAGGTCCCGGAAGATCACACCGGGAGGCAGTTGCACCTCCTGCAGGAGCGACCGCAGTCCGTCATCACGTCTGCGTCGTCGTCGAGTCTCCTTTGGCCCTCTCTTCTCCCTTTCTTCCGCTTCAACGCTCTCAGTATCGCTGTCTTCTGTGTCCTCGTCCGCGGCGGCTTCTAGCTCCTGGAATAGCCCATAGAGCGTCTGCAATCGATTCCAGGCGTCCGCAGCACGTCTCTGCTCATCCAAGGACAGCTCCGCCACGTGTCCTTTCCTCGCTTTGACTATCCCCTCCGCGATGATCAAATGTACACCGGAAACATCCTCTGGGCGCTTGCGAAAATGGTCGCGGACGGATTCATCGTCGCGTAAGGAAGTGTAGGCAACGCTTGGGCTGAGAGGGAAGTCTTCTTCATCACTGGAAGATCCACCACCGCCGTTGTCGTGACCGATGGGCGCCGGTAGATGCAGCCGCGCTCGCTGAATCGCCCGGCGCAGCATCGCCTGAAGTCGTGAAGCTGCCTAAAGCAGCGGTTCGTGTAGTGACTTCATTTTTGTATGGGAAGTGATGATGCGTCGTTTATAGATTGTCCTCGAGATGTAGGAATGTTTGTAGTTTGGTAAGGCAATCTGAATCAGATGTTGACTTTGAAAGGATTCCGAGACACAAGAGAGCGGAGACATCTAGGACGACGCGAGGATGCTTCTACGCTCGGCGTTGATCGAAGACGGCGATGGATTCAGCGATGAGCTGCTAGAAGAACGCCCTGGCTGCAGCTCCACCACCTTCCCCTGACCGAGTGCCTCCGCTGCCAACTGCGACTTGAATTGTTGCGGTAAAAGATGTTGAAGCGGGCACTGCAGTTCCTTCGTAGATCACCGTCACGAGTTCAGCGTATCCGCTACGGTGTCAAAGTCCCAATGGTACGCCCGCTGCGGAGACACGTGGACAGGCAATTCTTTTGGAACAACAAATACTTGAGTATACGGCAATAGGAAGAGTACGTGTTCACGTTCGACGCGCACAGGTTGACCGTTGACAATCACGCAAGACCTGACTACAGCCATTCTGAAGAGGGGACGACGACGGCGCTATCACTCTCAATTGATGACTGCGTATGTTCACGATGACAGCTCTATCGATGCACCGATTGGCATCACTTTGGACGGAGAGCTATTGAATACTTGTAGAGAGTGCCATAACGTGCTTGTACGAGTGGACACCAGCAGAGCGTTTTCTTGCGTGGAGCAGTTTTTTTTGTTGCTCGACAATGACGACAACGACAGTTCGCTCTCAGGACAGGACGTGGTCGACCAACTCCTGAGCAGTCGATCGAATTACTCAAGAGAATTGCAGCGGCGATGATCGCCCGCGACGCAGTAGCGACTACCAGTTTGAGAAGGCTATGTCCTCCCGTTCTCTGCTTTGTGGACCATGCTGCTGACTGGCGACGCACGTAAACTTTGCGTTTGCGGCACAGCGTCTGACCAAGTCAACGGATATCATGTGCTATCAGCGCTGCAAGAGCTCTTCATGCTGTAGCCGTTTCACAAGCGGTGTGCAATGCGTATATGAACGTTGTCACGTTTCATGCTTGGCGTTCGAAGACCGTTCTGTAGCGCCAACGTTCTTGGGAAGCAGGTAGAGGACCCATTGCTGCCGCGAATAGCGTGCGTAGTGCGTGGCGCGCGCACGTTGAAATGAGCCGACCGAACCCATTACTGAACGGAATGCATTTTAGTACTTCGGTAGTCAATGTTGAACGTGCCCTTTTAAGATTCGATCCCATTTGACAAATTATGTATCTTTTCTGCCCAGAGCTTTAACAGCTTGGGTATTTGCGCACAAAACTAGTACCGAAAGACCCATATTCCCACTAGATTTCCTTGAAATGTGCCCATTTTACCAAAGGTAACCCATCGATACAAAGAAGGAAATTTACAGAAGCCGCAGCGGGACTAGTCGCGGACGACCATTGTTCCTTGCGCGTTCTGCAGCCTACCACACTCGACTCTCTCTCGCGCCGCGCTATACGATCGAACGCAAGCCACAAGCGTCAGCGCTCGTGACAACCTCAGTCACACATTCTCCACGATGGATTCAGGTAACTCAGAGGCGATCCGCTTAGCTCAGGCGTCGGACTGGAAGGGCCTTCAGCGGCTACTGGAACGAGACCCTGCTATTGCCAAGCAGCGTGGAGACCATGGCATGCTGCCGATCCATTGGGCCTGCACAGTGAGCCGTGTGCCGCTATCGCTCATGGCCAAGCTGATTCAAGCGTATCCAGACGGTGTTCGAGCCAAGAACGCTGGCGAGTTACTACCATTGCATATCGCCATCCGAGCCGGTGTACAGGCGTCTTGCTTGCGTAAACTACTCCGCGCGTATCCTGAAGCGGTGAACGAGCGGACCCCCGAAGGCGTATCGGCTCTAAAGATGGCGGAAGACTTTGAACTGGATGCAAACAGCTTGAAGCTGTTGCGTCGAGCACACGAACGTATTACGCTGCAGCAGCAACAAGATGATAGTCCAAGCGAACGGAGTAGCGCTGAGATTGATATGAAACAAGCGCTCGGCGTCCAGGAAGAAGGAGAAGCTTCCGGTGTTGAAAAACCCGAAGATGAAGACAGGGAGACTGAGGAATGGACTGAAGCTGTCGTACCAGATCCTTTCGTGGGCAATGTCGGCTTTAACGGATTTCTTCATGTCGGTGACGATCGAGAACTGGAAACAACTGAGACGGCAGTCTTGAAGCCGGACACAAGTGTCAGTATGAGTGAGCAGTCGTTGAGCGACAGTCTTGACACGCCTCATGATCATCTCGTGTCGCCTTCCTCGGAAAGCTCCTCCAGTCTAGAGGAACCGGCCAGCTCTCGATCTTCATTTGGTGCTCCATTTCGCACTAGCAGTCGTCAAGGCCTTGCAGGCTATCAGAGTCAAACACACACTCCCGTTCGCCCTCCGACTCGGATGCATCGCACTGCGTCACTGCTTGCTCAATTGCAGAATAATGGCATCCTCACTGAACGCGAGTTGCGTACGATGGTGTCTGCAATGAGTGCCAACGCCGCTGTGGCCAACAACGAGGATGAAATGGCGAGGCGAAGCCACAGTCGCCACATGTCGCTGCCAATGATGCCCAGCCATGAAAACCTTCGACAAAATTCAAGCTTCCAATTCTACGATGAAGCAGACGATGAGAACGAGGAGAATGAGATTGAGATTGCGTCTTCAAGAGACAGTGCCAGCACTGTAGGAGGAGCATTTGGTGCTCAATTCAACCCGCGAGGTCGGCTTTTCCGGTCGGTACACGAGCCTGTTCGACGCTCAGTCACTCCTAGTGGATCTCAAAGAGGTTCACCGCCACTGTTCAGGAGAACCCACCGTCGTGCTTCTCATGGATCGCACGGTCGAGGACACTTTGACCCTCCTCCTGAGTGGAAACATGACGGCGAATGCTCCATCTGTCGAGCAAGCTTCGGCATGTTCAAGCACCGTCACCACTGTCGTAATTGTGGCAAGTCGATCTGCAGTCAACATAGTGCAGACAAGAAAATATCCATGGAGGCGAAGGGCTTTACAACTCCGCAACGCGTGTGTGTCACGTGCTACGCTATGATCACTCACAGTCGGTCGATGAAACACGATTTGGAGCTCGACGAAACGGGTCAGGACGGCTCAGTACTACACCCCGCCACCTTCCAGCAACAACACTTCGCCCCCAATGCTAGCGCTGGCAACTCTGCTGTTGCCGCGTTCTCGTCTTCTGGAGCCCCGGGGATTAGTCGCAGTGCGTTTGGAAGCTCGCGGAGTCCTACTAGCACTGGTGGGAGTCCCACCCCATCACCGACAACGGGACGCAAGGGTAGCTCTCGAAAGTCAAGCGTTCTTGCTGCCGGTGAGGCAACTGGAGGCGGTGGCGAGCGTGCCACTACTGGACTGAGTGGAGCAACGTCTCCTGTCCTCGAGCTGCGGTGTTTGCTGGCTTCGCAGCAGAAGCAGATCGAGCAACTCGCTCAGAGCAACATGCAAATGCAGCAGCAGTTGCTTGAACAAGAAGAACTCAAGGCCGAGACGATGCTGTTGATCACGCAACTAATGACGCGTGTGTCCGTGCTGGAGCTGCAAAAGGAGCGCAGTTTCCATAACAGCAAACGACGCAGCGCTGAAACGGGGGAAAGCGAGGAGGACGATGAAGAATTCCCTCAAGACGATACCCTTCCGTTCGAGCGATAGGAAATACTTTTTATGACGCCCACACCAGCCAGCGAAGGAAGCTGGCTGGTATCTATTCGCATCACTATTCACCTGTTTAACATCTCTTTAAGCCTGTGTGTCGGGAGAAACCACACAGCACTTTAGTATCTCGTACAACCAAAGCAATAGCGTTTTATTTAGAGCCCAAAGTGTTGAGAGTTATTCGTTCCATTGAGTGATATTCGCTCTGTCCTCTGCGTCTGTGAAGCTGCTGAGGCTGATGGAGATTTACTTGAGCGCGGGAGCCTCGCCGATCTCGCTGCGCTCGTACTGGAACTTGCCGCGCGGGACGTAGTCCAGCTCTGGGTGTGCGCCGCCCTCCTTGCCCTTGGACGAGAAGCGCGAGTTGATAGTGTCCACCACGAGGTAGACGCCGAAGATGGCGGAGGCCAGGCCCAGACCTGTGAAAGGCTTCTTGGCACAGCCGCTGATGAAAGGGTGGCTTCTCCACGCGTCCTGGTGAGCGAGAACCATTGCGAGCAGCGACGACGATTCCGAGGGTCTAGCTCCTTGTGTCAAGCGCGTCCACGACCGCAAAATATGCAGCGCAACTTAAAAAGATAAAGTTGCGCAACATAAAATCTTCTTCAATTTCCTTTTAGCAACTTATTGGTAATCGGTTTGTCGAAGGTCAAGCAATAATGGCGGTAAGGTTGACAGACGCATGACCGTGCCCTGCAGACAACCATGACATGTTCTTACGCGTAATTTCTCTTGTGCTATTGCCACAGGACAAATCGGGCTCTCGGAAAGGTCCAGGTGTGGCCAACGTGACACGTCAGACATGGGACCGCGCACACTACGAGAAGCTCGCCCAGCTCCGTGCTGAGGGGAAACTAGAGAAGGAAGAGGTGCGTTTGTCTGTTCAATTCCTGCTGTGTGGTAATGTGTGCAGCTAAATAACCAAATGAATGGGCCGCCCTGTAGACGAAGAAGGTGATCAAGTCGACTAAGGAGGAGTTCCAGGCTGCCAATGAGGGTGCAGCGGGTCCTGCTGGCTCGGCACGCGCATTTCTGAAGGCTCGAACCAACAAGATGTCATTGGAGAGCAGCGTGGGTACTGTGAAGGTGGTCAAGTCCGATGATGTGAGCAAGAATGGCGGCTACTATTGCGAGGTTTGCGAGTGCGGCCTCAAGGACTCGGTGGCGTATCTGGATCACATCAATGGCAAAAAACGTAAGTAGGCCAAGGACATGAAGCATTTGATATAGTCTGAACAGTAGGTTTGCTATCGCAGACTTGCGCAAGCTCGGCTACAGCATGCGAGTGGAGCGATCGACGGTGGATCAGGTGAAGAATCGACTGCAGAGTGCGTCCAAGCGCAAGTGGGACCCTTTGATGGCCAAGAAGCTGGACGCTATGGAAGGTGCGAAGCTCTTGGTAATTCGCTTGATCGTATCGGACTTGTGACTTATGACTTGTTATCTTTGTGTTATGCAGATTACGAGAAGAAACTAAAGGCAGCGGAGGAAGAGGAAGCTCGTGCCAAGCGACAGAAGAAGGAGCAGAAGAAAGCCAAAAAGCTCGGAAAGGAGGCACTGGAGCAGGACAAATCTGACGACGCTGACAAAAAGCCTGAGGCTGCCGATGAAGCTCTCGATGCTGATGCCGAAATGATGGCCATGATGGGCTTCGGCGGCTTTGGCGGCTCCAAGAAGTCATAATAGAATGCACGATGAATGTTGCCTTCGTGTCCGCATCAAGTTGGCTATTTGTGTAATTGTTTTGAAAGTACCAATTTACAAAATCTAGTGACTTTTACACAAAAACACCACCTTGAGACAGATCGCGGAGCTACGAGAATGTCCGGCCGCTCGCCGCACTTCGGCCGTCCAGAAGCCTCTCACGGACAGCGACACAATCCGCATGCCTCACACCAAGACCATTCACCCAGTTCCACGCTGCTGTTGCGGGGCCTGGCGCGCTCTGTGGACGACGAAATGGTACAATTATTGGACCAGAAGCTGCCACCCCTTTAAATATAAACTAGGTGGTAGACCGGGTGGTAGAATGAAGTAGAACACGACAGAGTCGAGAATCTTCAGGTCTTCCAGTCACTCACCGTCCGCTTCGTCATCCTCGCTCAGATCCTCCGCGCGTTGGCGTCTTTCCGACCGTTGCAGGCGAGAACCATTTACGACAAGGTACGCGCAGAAAAAATAGCGTGTAATGCTACGATTTAGTGTTAACTAAAGTGATTTTGGTGCATTATAGGCCACTGGAGAACCGCGAGGGTTCGCCTTTGTCGACTTTGACTCGGTGGAGAGTGCGATGCAAGCCATGAACGCTTTCGGTAGAATATTGGAGTATTTCTGCAATTATAATTGGTGCAACCTGTGACAATAAAGCTGTGGATGTACCTGCAGAGTCGACGCCTCTGGTACTGGAGCATCGAGCTGTGAACGTTAGCTACACGGACGGATTCCGTCGTCGTTCAGCGGATGATTCAAACCGACCCAATGACCAGCGCCAGGGGTGGCAACCGCGACCAGACTGGATTTGTGATGGGGTGGGTCGAAGTTTTGTGTATTAGTTAGCTGGAAATTACTCATTTTGGTTGTTGTACCAGTGCAACGTGACCAATTTCGCTCGACGGACGATTTGTTTCCAGTGCAATGCACCCAAGACAGCTCAAACGAAGGAAATCCCAGTGACAGCATCATATCGCCAAGAGCAAATGCGCAACCGAAATGATTCTCAGTATACAGGGGAATCTGCTACCATGATATCTCTCGGTGCTCCGTCAAGAGATGAGATGGGTACACACAGACGCGGTGAACACGCCCGACATGTTCCTCCGTCTCAAGTTCTAGTAGTGCGCATGCTCCCACCAGATATCGAGGAAGGCGAGGTGTGTATGCTCTTGAATGTGATTAACTGTTATCCAGGTTTCCAATTAACTCAAACTTTGTGCAGCTCCAAGTAGCCTTCGCAGAGTTTGACGGCGTACAAGATATCCGTCTTATTCGAGATCGCGCGACGAATCTGTCGCGAGGTTTTGGCTTCGTCGAGTTCCGCGATATCGAAGTACGATCCATCCACTGTTTCGTATACTAACAAGACTCTAATTGTCGCTTGCGATGACTATTGTAGGCAGCGACGAGTGCTCTGCGACAATGTGCTGGCTTAGTTGTCCAAAATACGCACGTGGAGGTGTCGTATGCTCGGGATACTCTGGCCAGCAGGTCGCAATATGTGGCGGACTTGCATCCTGGACCGCGCACTGGCAGCTCCATGGTCGTCACAGCGTTGGAACAAGCGCAATGGTCGCTCTCTCAAGGACGCGGAGCTGAAGCCACAACTGATCAGGTGAACGCATGTTGCATTTTTGTTTGCTGAACTGGACGAGCCGAAGCGAAACACGTATCTAATCTCCAAGGTCTCCTGCTCTGCTACTCGCATGCTCGAACTGCTTGTTGTCATCAGCAGAACATTGTCGACCAAGACGTGAGTGCACTTCTGGATAGTGCTGCAGCCGCTGTTGTGCCTCGCTTCGAAGAACCCAAGAAGATGTGGCCTCCGCCATTCGAGACAGCAGGCGGCAGCTACGTATATGTTAGCGAGTATGGACTCTATTGGGATCCGGACAGCTTGTTCTACTACGACGCACACACCATGATGTACCATAACTCGTTCACTGGTACGTACTACCGGTGCGTGGATCCTCAGAGCAGCGGAGCGTCTGCTTTTCAGGTATTCGAGCCACCGCTACCAGTTGACGATGAAGCGTACAACGAGGCAACCACAGCGAAGTTACCTGCTACAAGTAAATCAGCGTTGAGTTTATCACTGAAGAAAGACAAGAAGAAAGCGCCTGCAATCTCGTTTGCCATCAAGACTACAGCATTCGCTTCAGCAACGGTGGCTGAGAAAACCCCGATGAAAGTGGGGACCAGTGTTGCTTCATCTGCAGTCAGTGCTGTAAGTGTGACCAGTATTGGCATGAAGCGTAAGAGCGCAGACGACATTGCTAAGTGGTCGCAGCGGCAACGTGAAGCAAAAGATGAGTCAAGTCCAACAATTGCTCAAGAGGTGACTATTTCATCGCAGAAGACGGAGACTAGTGCTGCGTCTACTGATTCCGTCATCGATGCCTTGACGAGTGTGCCTCAAGAAGTACCCATTTGTCTGGTAAGTGCTGCTGTTTGAGATGGCAAGGTATAGTTGACTGATGTTGATTCTTGGTGGTAGCTTTGTCGACGGAAATTCGGGTCGTTGGAGATGCTTCGCAAGCATGAGAAGTTGTCAAAGTTGCACTTGGCGAACATGGCAAAGGCGAATAAGAACAAGCAACATATCGCTGCGCAGTATCGAGAGCACGAGAAGGAGATGGAACGAGATGCCAAGAAGCAGCGGCAAGAAGAGAATGCTCCGCCTTCAGCCAGCAACAACTGGAGTGCGTCTGCTCCCAGCTCGAATCCTGAGTCCACGACGAACTCACTTGAGTCAGGTATTGGTGGCAAGATGCTCAAGATGATGGGATGGAAGAGCGGCGAGGGACTCGGCAAGCATGGCACAGGCATCACAGCACCGATCAATGCCGCTGGACAAGGCGGGCGTAGTGATACGGCCGGACTCGGGTCCAAGGCGCCGCTCTCTGCGTCAGTGGATCTCTCGGACGTCACCTCCGACAAAGAACGTCGCCAGCGACTTGCCCGCGCTCGCTACGACAATGCCTAGGTCAATTTTCTCGAAATCTTTTGTAAAAGTTACCACTTTTGCGTTTTCTTATTGAAAATGTTTGCTGAAAATGAAGTTACCCATGCTGCGCATAGCTGAGATCAGTAACTTAGAGCAGCTTCTGCACGGCGTTCTTGAGCAGCGACTTCTTGTAACCGGAGATCTTCTCATGAACCTCCTTGCCGTCCTTGAAGAAGCGGAACTCCGGGTACGCACCGACATCCAGGTCGTCCTTGAGCTTCTCCACCTCCGGAATGGACACGTCCAGCTTCGCGAACGTCACCTCCGGGTGGGCTTCAGCCAGGTCTGCGAAGAACGGAGCAATCTGAGCACACTTGCCGCACCACGGGGCCATAAAGTCCGCCACGACGGGCTTGCCGCTCTTGATCAGAGCGTCGAACTGGGCCTTGGTCTTCACGACCGTCAACACGGCAGCATCGTCGTCCCCGGCCTCGTCCTTGACCGTGGAAAAGTACTCGTAGCTGTCCGTAGGCGTGGCCTTGATGGTCTTGTCACCAGGCTGCCAGTTGGCCGGACACACCTCGCCATGCTCCTCCACGAACTGCAGAGCCTTGATAAGACGCAGCGTCTCGTCGACACTGCGGCCAATGGGCATGTTGTTGATAGTGATCTGCTGGAGAACGCCCTCCTTGTCCATGATGAACAGACCACGCAGAGCCACGCCGGCCTGTTCCACGAGCACGCCGTACTTAGCCGAGATGACCTTGGTGATGTCCGAGACGATGGGGATGTCCATCTTGCCCAGACCGCCCTTGTTGCGCGGCAGACGCGTCCAGGCCAAGTGGCTCTCAGGCGAGTCACAGGACACGGCGATCAGCTGCGTGTTGAGCGCCTTGAACTCCTCGGCGCGGTCGTTGAACGCGATGATCTCGGTGGGGCACACGTACGTGAAGTCCTTCGGGTAGAAGAACAGCACCACGTACTGGCCACGGTACGTATCCAGCGACACGTCCGTGATGTCGCCGTTCACCACAGCCTGGGCCGTGAATTGCGGCGCCTGGTGCTGCACACGCGCGGCAACGGGCGGATACTGCACGAACGAATCCTCCTCGTCGTCCTCGAAGAAGAAATCATCGCCGTCCGTGGCGAACGTGCGCAGCGGCTGACGAGTGGCCACCAGCGAGTTGGACAGGAAGGGAGCAGCGGTACGCGGGGCAAGGCGAGCGGCAGACGGCAGCGCACGAGCGGCCGCAACGCGACGGATAATCTGCATAGCACGCATTGTTGATACGGTTGTGCTTTTTTTCGAGAATGAGGAGCTCTTTTTGAGCCTCACGTATGATGACCGAAAAGATCTTGAATTGAGTATGCAATCTGTTTAACAAAATTGTGTTGAAGCTATCGAATAGGAGAGGTTTTGAAGATATTTTCAAGTCTTGCCTTAGATTTTTTGATAGGAAGTTACTACAGACTGTATTCTGAATCATATCGAGAATTGCCTTACATCACGCGCAGCCATGACGAAGCACAAGCGCAATGAGAACGCAGCCACTAAGGATCGTAAGATCGAGACACCGCCAGCAAAAGTCGCAAAATCGACTTCCGTTTGCGAGTATTGCCGAAAGGAATTCACTACTCGAGGAATCCCCCTGCATCAAACGAAATGCAGCAAGAAACAAGCTCACGACAAAGCCGAAGCTAAGAAGACGCGCTCCTACAAGTTTTGTATCGTCAACGAAGCCATTCACGAAGAAATCCTCTCGTTCCTGAACAATCAAACACTCACCAAGATGCAGATGATAACTGGCGATCATTACCAGCAGTGCGAACCTGTGTTGGCGAGATACTGCTGCAAATGTGAGGATGATAACCCAGCCGTTCTAGGTGGTCTGTGCCAACAGTGTAACACGACTCTGGGGTATAGTCGTCGCTCTACTTGGGTAGAAAAACAAGTTGCCAAAGACAAATACGGATTGCGCAAGAAGGACCTCCGAGAAATTCGAAATTCATTGGGCCAGTACTACGATTGCGATATTCTGGAGATGTACATGATTGAAAAGTGCGGATCAAAGATGGGGTGGGTAAGATATCTTGCCAAAAGAGACATGAGTAAGAGGAAGGCACTGGCTACGCGGAGGAAGAACCAGGAGGATATGGATGCTTTCTTGAAGTCGCTAGCTCCTGGGTTTGCGCCATACCTATGGGCGATTGGCTTTAAGAAAACGGACGAGGAGCTATTGATGGAAAGCAGTCAGCGCTTTATCGAACTTAAGTCGAGGCTTGAAGAACGTGGGCTTCATCTTCCAGCGAGTTCGACGCTCTGCAGCGATTACATTACCACAGGAGTTGGTAAGATCGAAGATGTAGTGAGAGAGACGGAAACTATTCAAAGTTCGCGCAACCTGAACTAAAAACGCAGCGCCGTAATGACTAAGGTGGTGTGGCAATGGCAATGCGGAGCTGTGAATGCTGCACTGGGAAAGCTAATGGTGACTTGTTATACCGTGTCGCTGGTAGGCTTTACAGTTAATTTCGCCACAATACATGGATGCCGTCAGACAAGCTCATGGCTCGTACGCTGACGTTGAGTTAGCTAACTTCGCTCCGAAAAAAATCCTTCATTTATTTTCTGAAGGTTCGCCAGGCCGCAAAGTTCATTTTGCGGATGTGACAATTCTATAGTGTGACGATATCATTTCGTCAGCGATAGTGAAACTGTCATTATGTTTTACATCATATTTTAGTACATGAACTTTATTTCGAAAGAGCACCATTTGCAATTGTCCGCGATATCCCTTACACTTCGGTCTCATTTCCAGATTCATCGCTTTATACATAGTCATGGTAAAGCGCGCGCGCGGCGCAAGCTCAACTAACGATCACTTGTCAGGAACACCACCAGAGGCACAAAATCGAAATCGATTTGTCAATTCTGTTACCAGAAGTTCATTACTCCGGGGATTTCGCTCCACCACAAGAAATATCCCCAGAAACGATCTCATGATAAAATAGAAACCAAGGAGATCCGCTCCTATAAGTTCTGTATTGTCAACGAACCTGTCTTTGAAGAGATTCTCTCATTCCTGAACAATCAGACACTTACCAAGATGCAGACGACCATGGAGATCACTACCAGTAGTGTGAACCTTGTTACCAAGATACTGTTGCAACTGTGAGGACGACAATCCTGTCATTCGAGACAGCACATGGATTTTGGCTTAAAACGCGCTAAATAAATCTTTCAGGTTGTGGAAAATTTCCACTCAAAAAAGTATTAGTAAGTTTGTGCAAACAGAAACCTAATGAACATGATATCTCATCATTATCCACATATGCTTTCTTGATCATGCAGGTCAATGAAACCTACGTTGCAGCATGTTCCTGCTTACAATCATTTTATAAGCTTAACCACCAACACTTTTGCGAAAGCTTTGACATCTTGCCGAATGGAGGAGCGCTGCGACGTGGGCGATCCAGCCCAGTACACTGGACCTTACCAACATTTGTGCATCCTCAACGAGAATGTGTTCGAGCACATCCTCAGCTTCCTCAGTAACCAAGCGCTTACCAAGTTGCACACCGTCACAGGCGACTGCTACTCGAATTGTCAGTCTCACCTGACTCAATTCTGCTGCGCATGCGGAAATGACAACCCAAAAATTCTCCACAATGTTTGTCGAGAGTGCGAGTCAAAGTCGGGCAATTACGTGCCATTTGCCGATAAGGACATGGCCACAAGTGTTTACGGCTTGAAAATGCGTGAGCTGGGTGAAGTTCCACCGTGCACAAGCACCAACGAAACGCTATATCGGCGTGTTGATCTGGAGAATTATTTGGAGGCGAAATACGGGTCGAAGCTGGGGTGGCTTCGCGAGATCGCGCGGCGAGATATGGTGGAAAGGAAAATTCAGGAAATGGAGCAACAGGAGCAAGAGGAACGAGCAGTTTTTATGGAATCTTTGGCGCCAGGATTTGTGATCTACGCTCAACTGATCGGCTTAGAGGAAACCAACAAGAGTCTTCTGTGGCAATGCAGCCAACGTTTCGATGCACTGAGGGCGGCTCTGAGGTCGCGTGGGCTTCAACTGCGACTCGGACTCAAGCAGTGTGAACGATACGTCGTTGCTGGGGATGTCGATATTTCGGATGTGGTGGATACTACGGAAGAAAATGTGTTTCTCGATACGCGCACAGATTATCAGTGGAAGATGAAAAAGGCTCAGCATGGCAACGGAGCGAGCGGCGAGAAAGCGAAGATGGAGCTGTGCATCTCGTACTTGGAAAACCACAAGGGACTTAAGCTTCCGCGTAAGTGGGAGAACTGTCGCCCGCGTTTTGAGGAAGTTATACGCTCTGGAGGTACCCCGCAGTGCGAAGTACGCTACATCTACAGCGAGTAAGAGGAAGCATGCAAGTACTCGATAACCATTACGACAGGATGCACGTGCTCTCATTGCGAGAAAGCACGGGACGGATCAGATTTAGCTGAGGCTGTTTGCCTGCTAGCAAGCGGTGGGGGTAATTACGTTGCGTGACTGTGTGGTGCTCTCCCGTTGTAACGCCTGGAAAGGGCGAATACGACGACGACGGTACCAGGTTAGAAGTTTAGGTTAACGAGTACTCTCGATCAATACCCTACCGGGCAGATGTGGTTTGAGAACATTTCAGCACGAAAATGTTGCTCTTGGTTTAACAGTTTGTGAAGCTTGTACCGTGATTGCTTCTCACTCCATTTGATCGGAAGCGTACAGCCTCTATTCCTGCTATGATTCAAACCATTTCTTCGGCGCTTGCTGGGTCCACTCGTTATGAAGTTCTTGGAGCAAGTTGAAATTATCTAGCCATGAAAGGGTTATATTACCTTGGGAAAATGGCAAATCGAAGTTCTGGTTGATATTTTGGAAGCAAGATACACTCGATATTTTATTGTGCTCATTATAAGGATATGCTTGTGGAGAAAAGAGACATCTTTACTCAGAAGTGGCAGCCTACAGTAATCATTTGGCTTTGGGTATCTGCGTAATAATTTGGTTTCCATGAAAGCGTAATACGTTCGATTCCACTTTCAATATTTTCGTCAGTCTTGAAAACTCTTCTCGACAACAATGAGTCTTAAATTCCTGACGTTCCTACTCGTCATTACAGTCTGTGCTGATTCCAGCAATGGCTCTGTCTTCGACATTTTAGAGCCTAACTCTAATAGTCGTCATCTCAGGGGTACTTTAAATCATGCCAAGACGAACGACGAAGAGAGGAACGCGGCTGTAGTGGCGCTCGTTTTCGCAGCGGAGCAGGCCAGAGCAGAACATCTAGTTAAACAGGGCGGCAAAGTAGCTGCGGCGAATCATGCAAAGCAGTCAAACAAAATCGGTGGGGACAAGATTTCGGGTGCGCTGACTAGCACCTCGAAGAAGGATCGAGCCGGAGCTATAGCTTTTTTCGCTGTTTACCTCGGGCTACCTTTGGCGGTCGGCGCAGTCATTCATCTACTGGCTAAATCACGCCATACCACCTCTGGCGAGCAATAGCGAGAGGTAGAATGAAGTCAATAATGCTGACTAGAAAGCTCAATTGTGAAGCACACAGGTTTGATATATCCCGCTTGTTTTCTACACTTTGCCTTACATTACCGCAAATATAAAGGTGTCCTTACCAGCAAAGCAAGCTCTTTATCGCTAATTGTCATTCGTTGGTTTAACGATTTTCTCTTTTCTCGTTATCTCATAATAATGCACGGGGAAGCTCTGGATTTTTTTTTAGTCATAATCAAAATCTTAGCCTACAGTAGGGAATAAGAATATTGTTTTAGCTCTACTAATTAGACCACCAAAGGGTTATATAACAAATTAATAGCACTACTATTATAATTCTCTGAAATTTATTTCAGTTAAGAGTCTATCGGGGATCCGATTTTTCTCGCATAATTCATATTAGATCCTATAATGTACCCTCCGTACATCAATTCTCTTTTTATTCTTCAGTGGATGAATTCGTAAAATTGATACCCTTACAGACATTTGAAAAACACACCTCCCCGTAAATTAAATGGTCGGATTATTGTATAAAAGCTTAGAGACTGGTAGCGTGGGATCTACAAATACCTCTACTAATTTATTCCTGCATTGCTTTTGAATCACACACGTGAATGTTGACCCTGTCGGCGACAGTCCCATCTTCGTACAACTTGCAACTGCAAGTAATTTATATGGCTATTTACTTATTGTGTAATTTATGAATTAAATACTACGATATCGCTTATCCCAGAGGGTTATCCATAATGATAACCGAGGACCCATTTACATATCCAGATCTCTATTTATGACGATATATTTACTCACTCGACTAGTTGTGCCAAGAAATTCCTCATCAACGAACTTCTGTGGTTGAATGCTTGTTGGAGTCTTCTAATAGAAGACAGGGGGGACTCTTGGAGCTCGGACCGCACTCTCTGAGAGCCTGCACCACTTGAAAAAGCGGGCTTCGCAAGAATGAGTGTGGTGTAGTAATTCCCACGGCAACTAGCTACTAGTGCAGGTAGGATAAACCCACAACAATACGTCTACCAGAACGGTAAAAGATCGTTTGGCCGTGATCTGAAGACCCAGACTTAGCCCTTACACCGGGACAGACTGGACCTGCAAATCGCTTATATAGACCAACCAGT